TTTCAATAGCAATAAACCGAATTTTTTTTTCAATTCATTAAGACTAAGATAAAATGTTTCAACGATTACTAGAGCGACAAAAGGATAATTCTTAAACAAATAACAATTTATCGTGAAACTTTAAATTATTAACAATTAATTTACACAAATAATAAATGCATGGAATTTCTAAAAAAAAAAAACACGTTCTAGCTAATGTTTTATCCAATACAAAAGATTTTACACGCGATATTCCAATCGACACAATATTGATCTACGAGCAGACCTTATGATTGACGCTTTAAAACGACAATGACATACAAACTCTCAAACATTTCAACCAAAGTCAGGTACAAAATTATAATGAAACTTGAGATCATAATAATTAGCCGAATAAAGTATCAACCTTTTGTGACATGGAAAATGTCATATGTGTACAATCCGCCATTTAATAAAACTTTTATCGACTACGTGCTGCGACTTATGATAATCAAGGCAACTTTATATAAGTAATAATTCGCACAAATAACTAGAACACGTGTAAAACCAACTTAATGTCTCCATTTATCAAATGTGAAAGCCAAATTGTCTAACAATAAATTTAAACTAGTCTTATAATTTAAAGGAAATAATTTGACATTGTACAACTAGCAATATTAAAATAAAATATTTTTAGTTTATTATTTGTAGAGATGAGAAAAAAGTTCAAGATTAATTTTATTTTTATACGATGTCAAAACAAATATTTCTTAACCGCAAATAAAATCATACAGCACAAGTTTTTGTATTAAATTAACAATTACTCTAATCATAGATATATTTCATCTTTATAAATTCTTCGTAACTAGGAATTAAAAAGCATATTGATTTTTTTTTTAGGAGTATCTTTGTCGATGATTTCCAAGCGCAACATTCGATTTGTGTAAAAGTGGATTATTAAAACTTTTATTTTCACTTTTTCGATTTTTAAATGCATTTTTGAGATTATATTAACATTTCGTGAAGACAATTTTTGGCAAAAATGACTTTTTTTTTTAATTTAAAAGTAAATTCAACATAACGATAAAAAATTTTTTTAAATGTATTATTTTTTTTATGTTATATATATTATATTATTATGTGATATTTATAATTTTTTAGAGCAACAAGATTTTAATGGTTTTATTGGGACATTTAGATCCGGGCTTTATTTATAACGCGGGTAAGATGAGTTTTTGACATTTAAAAAATATTTTTATAATAAACAAGCATCCTAAAGGAGTTGCTCCGAGCATGGAATAGGTATTTAATATAAAATACTATGTTATTTTACGTTAAATGATAACAGAATAGTGATAATTGTACCATATGATTAAATGTTTTCATAATTTCCACAGAAACAAATAGATACGTATTTAATAAAATAACATAGTATACAATATAAAACATTTATTTTATATTCGGAGTATCGCCTTTATAATGAAGATTATTATTTGAAATAATTATTGTTTCATCAAGTCAAAAATTAAACAATCAGTTTGTAAGTTGATAAAACTTTTTTATGTCAGTGAGCAGTATATTATGTCAATTCGTCCGTTTTAATAAAAATGGAGTATAGTCAAATACGACTCCACCCATTTGTTTACATATTTTTAAATGTTCAATCACCAAAAATGTAATTTAACAGTTTTGTTTATTGTGTCAGTAATATTTGTTTTGTATATTCTCAAATGATTTAAAAATAACGAAAGTTACTATAAAACTTTCAAATGTTATCTACCACGAGTTTCATTAAAAATAATGTATTTAATTTTACAGGTGAAGCCAATTTGAAAATTAGTATCTTAATTAAAAGTATCAAAAACTCTATTGAATATGATTTGTCTAATCAACACGCATAAAACAATAAATATTTACATAAAATCTATGTAGTTATAAACGTTTGGACTATCGGTAGTCAAATAAATATAATTATCGAAATCCTATCGCCAATAAAACAACACAATACATATTATTTGTTTTTTCATTCCTCGACATACTTTAAATAAATAAAAATAAAAATAAAAATGACAATAAATAATATATTATTTCTTATTTTTATTGCTACACAAATAGTATCACAACGGTTTTATTTTATTATCAAAACGAAGGATAAGCCAGTGAGATAACAATTCAGGCTTAGACCAATCAACATACTTATAGATCAATTTTACAACATTTATTATTTCAGTATATTTCCTCGAAAGTTTACAACAACCTACTCACGTAAAGAATTGTGAGTTATTAGTCAAATAACATTCTAGTTAATAATAAATTAACACAAGTATCGTTTTCAGAACAATTCTATTTGTCAAATTTTTACACGCACTTGTATAACGTTGTATGTCTCGTATCATTAAGTAAATAAAACGCGCTGTTATCATTGCAAAGCTCCTAAAACTTATTCATTTACGAGCACGAGCTAAACACGGGGCCCTTAATTCAACATAATAGTTGGTTTGAATGCCAAGCCTTTAAACAATCGTCAATAATACACACCGATCTTAGGCAACACAACAGGTCTAAATGCGCAAAGCTCGTGTTGAGTATGAAATTAAATTTAAAAGCAGTATTCATAGACCTAGATGCGTTATAAAAAAATGTTTGTTTGATAATTTTAATGAAATATTTAATTTGTCTAAATTAAATCTGCTAAATATTCATACTTTGAACTAAATGTAATAACTCGATAAGATTTTCGAAAATCTTATTTACAAACTCGAAACCGACAAAGCTCACATTTTATGCTAACAAAGAAATATTCTCATTGAATTAATTAGGAATTCTGAGAGCCGAAACAAAATCTTTTGGTATTCACAACGCTAGAATAGGTTTTTCTACAGTCACAATTTTCTTTTATACGAATACAGAATATTCAGATGAAACCGATTTCACTGAGTAAATGTTTGGATTTAACTTAAATTTATGTTTTTCTGTTGTTTATTTAATTGCTCGACAAAATTAAACAAGCGTTGTCAGTGTCAGTAACAATAGAGGAACATTATTTTAACGACTTTTAATTGAACAAACAAGTAAAAGTAAATGACTTAGAAAGGAAATTGTCTCCGAAAAAATATTATTTTTACTTTAATCACAAATACGGCTACATTTAGTCTTTTGATACCATTGTATAATACATATATATTTAAAACATTAACTAATAAATAATGTAATTATTATTTTGCATTCTTATAACAACAAATGAAAAATATTGTATTGATCACCAAACTTATAAATAGAAAATGAGATTATAATTTATGATTATTTACAATATTTATAACAAAAATGAATATACTAAAAGAATTACAAAATTAAACAATTATAAGTTATTTGAAGTTTAAACAAAGGTCGAGCTAATCATCACTATGGAAACGGCCAAATATAGTGGTTACTAAAGTAACATTAAATTGAAACATAAGAAAAATTTCAACACTAGAAATAGATTAAAAACTTGAAATAAAAAAATTGAATGACTAAAAGTTATCATAATAAAACATGAACTATTTTAATATATTATTACTATTTAATGTTCCTCGGATTAATAACTTAATGGTAATATTCGACAGAAAACAAGCTAATGACAAAATAATTTTTCAATAAAAGCGGCGAAACTGATAAACATTACAAATGAGTTTTGCAATATTCTGTTTTCCAGATAAGAAAAATAAATATTAAATTTTTAAGATAAAACATTTCTTAAATAAATCGATGTAAAATGATTGCAAATACCATTGAAATAACGTTTATAATAAGTCTGAATAGCAAAATTTGAGGAAATTGAAAATATTTTGAAACTTGAATATTTTATTCGTAAAATATACAACCAAAAGTTTTGTCTTATCAATTAAATTAAATAATACTGGCGTTAGAACGGTAAAAGCTCTGTACAGATCTGTAGAAACGAATCAAACTTCATTACCAGAACACAAAAGGCAAAAACGATGCCAGATGAGTTTTACAGACTGCTCACAATAGAACTAAATAAATATTTTAATGTAAATATTAAAGATAATATAATTTAAATTGTATTTTCTGAAAAAAAAAAAAAAAAAAAAAAAAAAAAAAACATTGATTTTATGCAAGTTGATTTGTTACATCGAATATTTCGAGCTGTCATTTAAATATGAAAACAAATAATCACAAAAAAAGAAATAAGTCACTTTTTTTTTTTGTACAGTTTCATATTAATTCTCAATAGAATAATAGTCACAAACCAATATTGTCCTAAATTTTTAATAAATTGAAAAATTCTTAAAACACATTATAAATAAAAAATAATCTTGAATGCACTTCAAAAAATACTAATAAATCAAATTTCCATGATATAATCAACATAAAGTCTTCTATTTTTTTTTTTTAATTTCATAAAGTATAGAATATAAAAATATGCATTATTTTGTTTTTATGTAAAAATAAATTTTAAAATACTTTTGAACAGTATCATGAATTTTAAAAATAAAGAAAATAATTATTTTTTCATATCGCTAAGGTTAGGTTACATGTTCTGTTTTATACAAGAGTTTGAAAATAGAGAAAATTATAAATAAATAAAACTTTCAATGTATTTGATGTTTTAAGTTCAACCTTTTAAATCATAATAATTTTAAACTTCATAAGTATTATTAAATAAATAATATCATTTATATAAGATGAATTGAATAATTATATGAACATACAAAAACATTACCTTTAAATTTCTTTAATATTTTAAAAATACTTATCAAAATATTAAAGAATTATAAATTAACTAATAAATGGGAAAAAGGACAACAAAAAAATTGTACCTCTAATCTTACTACACATAACCTTAATTTTAAAAGATAATTTAATTTTTCAATTTAATGCGGTATTATATTACATAAGAAAAAAATATTGGGAAAATTTCAACATTGTACTTAAATTAAATTAACAGAATTTAACCATATATTGTGAAAGTTGATCAATATATACAACTTTTTACCAGTATAAATAAAATAACTTTTTTTTTAAATTTAAGTACTTACCGGTCAAAAATACGAGATTCTTTCAAAACATTCCCAAGATTGATATAAGCATCTAAAAAATTTGGGTCCAATGCAACAGCTTTTTCAAAATGATGAATAGCAAGCCATATTTCATTTAATGAATTAAATACACAACCAAGATTACTCCAAGCTACAGCAAAGTCAGGTCTTGTTTCAATAGCTTTCAAATAGCATGACTGTAATGAAACAAAAAAATCAAGATTCAAAAGGAGAAACAAGGATAGGAAAGAGATTGTAATCAATATTAGTAAATTATAATAGCAGTTTAGTAATATTAAGTGTAAACGGAAAACAGATAGAAAAAAGTGATATGTACAACTTCCTCTCCAAAAATATATATTTTTTTTAGTTAAAGGGCAGCGCAAAGTCTTATAATGTGTGTCAGTCCAATCTGACAGTTTTCTATATTGTATGATGGCTATAATGACTAATGAATGAGTTTTGGTAAAAAAAAATACCAATGATTTTAAACTATAAAAAGTAATTTTCTAGTCATTGTAACAATCAAATATAAAGACGCGCAATTACGCAGCAACATAGTATGAACAAAATAAACATTAGTTTATTTTAAATCGTACTATGTTAAAGCAACCTAAACGCGCAAAAGCTATACTTATGTTTTTTAATTAACACAACAGAAGTTTTAGGAGAGAAAATGTACACAAGCGCGCGTGCATCCTCTTCACATCCCTTGACACATTCCTATAAACAAAAACAAAAATGCATTTGGTAAGAAAAAAAATTCCTAACACCTAATGATTGGTCCACTTCTATTAGAGAAAATCATGAATTATTAAAATGAACATTTGATAATTGTCTTATAAAAATAATTAAAAACTCATCATTTTCTCAAATATTTAAGAAAAATCAAGAATAATAAAAAGATAATTAGTCCTTTTGTATGAAATTGACGTTGAGATGATCATTGTTACGAGAGTGTGAGGCGAGTGGTTACCAATAGATTTAATAATACTCTTTGGTGTAATTTCCCGTTTACAAAATTTGAAATTTAAGAGCTGTGAATTACTCAGTACCTATTATGTATGAGGTAGTAGCTATTCATGAAATAGGAACACACTCGCCGTACATCCTCATCAATTAAACATACAACATTTTGATATCACCGACCTAGAAAACTTGTAATGGTACCTGAAAAGTAAAAAAAAAAAAAATGGGAATGATATTAGTATGTTTTTGTCTCATATAAAACTAGTGAATTCCATTATTTATAAATAATTTGAAGAAAATATTTGATTTTATTATTAAATACATTAAGTTATTTCTTAGAAAAAAATTAATAAAATGTGACCATTATAATAATTAAATCATGTTTAATATCATTGTTATTTGAAATCTATGATATATAGGATTAAGTTTAAAAAATACAATCTTTTTACTAGTTATAGGGAATATATAATACCTATAATTAAACAATGGCATGATAACAGCAATAAAAAAAAAAATTGAAATAATCAATAATTTAAAAATATATTGTAAAAATAAAACTCACTTAAATAAGAAAATTACTTCATCAATATAAATGGATGGAAAAAATGAACTGATTATTTGTATAAAATTAAAAATCACCAGTCTATTACCAAGTAACTTTTTAAACTTAAATTACTTACCAATAATTTCAAAGTTGTCCATTGATATTTTGAATCCAGGAACCAATAGGAAATCATAAGAGAAAAAAGGAATGTAGAAATTAACTAAGAATAATTTGACAGGAATAAGTGTCATTTTTATAAAATTGTATGCAAACTCATAATATTGTTGTAGATCAGCGCATTGAAAAATAATAATGTAACTAGATTGTTTTGTTATTATTATTAAAAATATTTTCTAGTTCTATTGTACAGATATAATATATATTATAGGATGAACCATTATAAAAATAATTATTAAAGAAACAACAAAGAATTACACTAATATTTCAATAAATGTTATTAAATATGTTTATAAGTATGTATTAAAAATTCATAAAATATTTCAAAATATAACTTGTTGACCAATTTAGGAAAATAAATGTAATAAAAAAAAGTTGCATTATAATAATGTCATTTTTAGATGAATTTTCAGGGTTGAATAAAAAAAAATGTTGATATATATTCTTTAAATTTTTGAATTTATGAATAACTAGCTGATTTAGTGAAGACAATGTCATTGTGTTATGTTTTATTGAAATATCACTCAAAAACAAAAAAATACCAGGCAGAGAAATGGGGGATAACGGCAATACCGGACACTTATAAAAATGTAGTGAAAAATATATGAAATTGCTATGCAGAAACAACAAAAACCAACTTATTTTGAAGATTTTTTTCCAATGACAAATTGGTTCCTCTTTTTTTTGTTATTTTATTTCCATATTAGTATTTAGTTTATTTAGTCTTTGAGAAGAATATTATTAATACATGTTTAATATAAAAAATTTTAATAAGGAAAATATACAAAAATAAATTATTTAAAATAGGTGATTTATTTCAAAAAAATAATGAGTAATTGAAAAGTTTTAAAATAGATATATTGTTATCATATTACAATAGAACAGAAAATTAAAAGAAAAATCAATTGTAATAAGAAAGTACAGTAGTAATTTTATTTCTTAGAACTTGAAAGGCAGTTATTGAATATTCATCTATTTAAGATACCAAAACTACAAATCAATAATCTGTTGAATGAAATAATTTTAGAAAATTACTTAGATCAATCAACTGAAAAAATTAACAGATTAAATATTTGTAAATTTGGCATTAATGTACTCAGTAATACATAATAAAAAAAGCCAAGTTCCTAATTTAAAACACATGATGCAAATCCAAAATTTTTTTTTTATCTAACAATTTTCACCAATATTTTTAAATTAGTCATTTGACTCTTTTCTCGCGCAAAAACCAAGATATGCAAGCGCCGCGCAGCTAATTACATTTCTATGTATGTTTTTAAATTTTAATGGGAAAGATAATCAATGATATCAATTAAATGAAAACCAAATTTTTTTTATGCCAAACAGTAAAAATATAATTACTTATATTTCAAATAAATTTGAAATAAAAACATACATAGAATTAGTAACTAAATTCCATAAACAATTTAGAGAAAAAACATTATTGTTTATGGAATAAATTTATTTCTTATTGACAACTAAATTTTTTGAACCATAATATAAGATACAAGTATTATAATTACTAGAACAAATGAAAATACATAGAAAATTATATAATAGCTCAAAATATTTAGTTGACTATCGCGCAATAAAGATGATCATCCAAAACTGCCTTATGAGTAAAAGTGATGAAATATTTTTACAAGTATTTTAATTTTATCAACTTAATCATTGACCGATCTATAACAGTTAACCTGAAAAATTGTAGATGAATACAATTTTTATTTATAAATTTACCTTTGCTTCATCTAATCTTCCCAAAGCTTTTAATAAGTTTCCAAGGTCACTTCTAACACAATAGAGTTCCTATAAAATATTATCAATAAAATACATTTTTATATAATTAGTTTTAAAATTATTCAAAAATATACATACAGGGTTATACTGCAATGCTGTGACATATGCTTGAACCGCTTGTTCCATATCTCCTGCAGCCACTAAAGCAGCAGCAAGATTTATGTAGCCATCAATAAAATCTGGTTTCAAACGTACAGCATGGCGATAATTATCTAAAGCATCCTGAAGTTGACCTCGTTCCTTGAAAACATTTCCCAAATTACTGTAAGCCTCAGCAAGAAGTGGATTATGTTTAATGGCCAATGATGAAAATTGAGCAGACCTGTAAATTTACATAAATTTTATTTATTTATATGAATTAATGCCTTTAATGATCAAGTACAGTAAATAACTGACATATATATATATATAACATAAAATTATACTGTATAATTATAATTATGCAAATGTTATAATTAAATTATAATTTAATTAATTATAATTATTAACAAAAGAAAAACATTTAATAACTTTAAATTGTTAAATGTTATATTATTAGTTTAACTTGGTTAATTTTTAACATTAACATTCAAAATGAAAATCATTTATAAATAAATTTTTACTTGTCTAATCGTCTACATTGAAAATGTATAGATGATAAAAGTAGTAAAACTCCAGTGTTATTTGGTTCTTGACGCCAAAGTTGCATGCAGTGTCTTTCAGAACTTTCATAATCGCCAGCTTGATATTCTCTGTGAGCCAATTCTAATAAACCTAAATTAATAATAGAATAATTGAAAAAAAATCCTTTAGAATCAACTAACTTATGTTTGATTAATTTAAAATTAAATTTTTCCATAAATTATTATTATAAATATGTATGAAAAAAATATAATGTAAAGTTAGTAGGAATTGACTTTATGCTAATTAACATAAAACTTTAATCCGTCATTGGATTAGAGACATATCAACCGAAAAAAATTATTATTTCAATCATTATTATTTTAGTTGAATTTTATTTTTAAACCATGTATCTATAGTAGAGATACTATAAATTGAGTTTTATCTTCTAACTCTAAAGAATAATACAAAATGTTGCTGTTAAATAGATATTTCATAATATTCAAAAACAATTTGTCAGTTGTCTCCCTCTGACGTAATGTATATTTTATAAGTGAAGGGTTGTAATGTTAATACTTAGATAACAATAATAATTAATACTTCATAATAAAAATATCCTAACCTAGTTAAAAAGAACAATCGTTTTTAAGTTATTAAAATTTCAAATAAAAATTATTATTCAATCATGATCATGTATCACATTTGTATTTGTACTAACCGTATTTAGGATTGACCACGATTTGATCATTGTTAAAATAATTTACAACAATCATTTTTATTTTCTAAATGTAATTAATACATGTAGTAAATCGTATTGTATTGCACAAAGCCAGCAAAACGTTAAAAACGAATAAGTACCGGAATAGACGGAAAAAACTAGAAAGTAATAATATCACGTGTCACACCTGGTATACCAAAAATATTAGAGATAAAACGACGAATTACTTTTCACATGACGCTCCCGTTGGCGTTCAATCACACATTAAACTCAGATAACAGAGTGCACAAACCAAGTAATAATAATTGCCGACGGATAAAACCTAAATTCCCAGAAATAAGACAATTAAACTGACTGGGACTAATAATATACACCGTGTGTGGGTACAGCATGTCGTTATTATCGTAAGATATGGAAAGCAATAAACATAGTGACTCTGGAAACATGAGCTCCTATCAGGTGTACTTACCGGCAGACGCAACGTTGTCTTCCAATTTCAATATCACCGTGGCTCCTGGTATTTGATGATGCGTTTGCGCCTGCATTTCACTAGTTCTGCAGAACGCTAGGCCTCCAACTCTGCTGTAGCCAACACCGACAGAAATCCAATGTGTGTTCCTACAGCCAATATTTATGTTATTCTGTATCGTTTGTTCTCGCCTTTGGTGGGAGTAACCTATTGGCACTGTGCAGAACGGTACTAGTCGAGCTGCTGATGCCAGCAGTGCTGTCGATCTTTGTTTGTTGTCAGCGACTTACTTGCGCGGTACGGAATTAGATGCGCATGGGTGCGAGGGAAGAAGAGGGTCACACGGTTGTATGGCTCTATTATTACTATGCGTTATTCTGATCAACGACAACGGGTGGGAGCATGCGCACTCCAAACAATTGCTTATGTAGTGGCGCAAAGGAGAGAATAGCATAATTTTCAATGGAGAGGGAAATTGCCTACTGCCTGCCCGGCTGACAACAGCTGCTCGCTCGACGTATAGAACAAAAAAAATGTGGAAATGAGGTTCCACCGCTTACAACCCAACATTGCTTACACATCACTGAGAAACAGTGTGGCTTACACGACTGGCATAAAATATCTCTAAAATTAAAGGTTAACTATTTCATTTGATTAGACAATTTCGTGGATTCAATTTTTTTTTTTATAATATTCAAGAAATTCTGTGTAATTTTAAACAATATTAAATTAAACCTGATGTGTCCTAGTTTTTAAAAAATATTTATATCATTTACCTTTTACTTAAAGAAATATGCAGTGTCCTCACACATGCAGAGGAACTTGGGACTCAGTTTTATTAAAGCACTATAACATTTATCTATCGAGCCCTAGTTCAGTAAGCTCGGATTGCGGTTTTAACCATTTTTTCAATTAATTATCTATTGATAATTAATTGTGACTTGACCAATTAGTACTTAAATTGTATTCATAGATTCGTCAACCAAATCAAGTTTTTTTTAAACAATCCTATTCTTTATCTGTACACACGCCAATGAATAGCAACTAGTACTGATGGGCATTTCCGAATATTTTAAACTATCGAATAGTTTTAAAAACTATTCGAATGGGCTACCGATTGGTTTCAAAAAATATTCAATTAGTTCTATCTAAAATTTTTATTAAGTACACTTAATTATAATAAGAAGATAATTAACGAATACTTAAAATAAATTATACAATTAATAATTAGTGATGGAAAATATTCGATAGTTATACAATATATTCGAATAGTTTTTAAAACTATTCGGTTGCATAAACACAATTCGAATAGTTATACGATAGTTTAAAATATTTGAAAATGCCGATCACTAATTTTTACTATTTATAATTTTATAATAATTTATTTTAAGTATTCGTTAATTATCTTCTTATTGTAATTAAGTGTACTTAATAAAAATTTTAGATAAAACTAATCAAATATTTTTTAAAACCATTCGGTAGCCTATTTAAAAAGTTTTTAAAACTATTTGATAGTTTTAAAAAACTATCGATTAACCATTCGAATTGTGTTTATACAACCGAATAGTTTTTGTATGACTATCGAATAGTACGATAGTTACTATTCAATATATCCATCACTAGTAACTAACTCTTAACTTTGTATTAACTATATTCATTTTAGTATATTAAAGGGAATACACATTCTATGTTTTGATGACCATTTTATTTTTTGCTCTTTAAACTAAAATTCTATAGTCACTATTTATTGTAAGCTTGTTCAACTTTTATCTTAACAAATTTTGAACTTTTGTACAAAAAAAACCACTTATATTTAAATTCTTCATAAAATTCTACGTATTAGTATACGTGTTATAAATAATTGAACAGTTTTAAAATGGAGTCTTTAATACTTAATAAGATATTGTTCTATAAAAAATAGCTAAATTCCATGTGGAATTTTTTATGAGAAGATAGAGCATTTTGATTTACAAACTTAATTAATTATTTATTAATTAGTACTCACAAAAATGTTATTCTATAATAAATCTATAAGGAAAAAAATATTTAAAATAATGTTTTTTCAATTGATGTAATATGTTACTTAGCGCTACTTTAACGTAATGAAAATCTTTTTTTAACCAATAGAAGAATTATGTCTTACTTATAAAATTTTAAGAAATTTGTTTTATTTATTTTTTTATAATTAACAAGAAACTATAGTTGTATTAAACTGAAAATTATTTTAAGTTTTTAATGTACTGTCTTTAATGAACACCCATTTAAAAATACTAACAATATTTTCTAAAAATGAATAACATTAACAAAATAAATATTTTATTCCAAATTTATATTTGACCCATAAATATCCAAAAATTACGATTATAAAATTTAAAACAAATTGTCTAGTCAATTTAATATTAAAATATTTGAATTATTTTAAGTAAAAATAAATATTACTAAAAGAAAAAAAATGAAAAAACTGCAAAATTATGAATGCTTTTAATGAAAAAACTATGTGACAAAGAATATATATTTTTTCTTTTCATTGAAGGGAAACTTATTAGTAGACATATTAATTTTATAATTTAACAAAATCAACATTAATGGTTTTTCCTATATTATTATGCCGTTCTCCTGCTTTTGCATTTATTTGATGTTTGATCATTTGACTTTTAAGGATAAGTATATGAGTATATCTACTGTATTGTTGAGCCATTGACATAGCTTTTTCAAATGTTTCTACTCTTTGATTTGGATGCCTGGCATAGAGAATCTAAAAAAAAGATTATGTTACAATTTTAAGTAATATTTTGGGTGATCGGGTTATCATAAACCACTCTATTACATTAAAAAGTATTTTGGTTTTAATAAGTTTTATAATTATTCAAATGGTTCAAATTATTCAAATACACAGTATTCTATATAAAAATCAGACATACATATTGTAAAATGTACAGATATCAAAATATTAATTTATGTAATTTTTTAATATAATTTATAATTGTATACCATCTTGAAGTTGATAAATGTTTTAATTTTAAATACATTTAGATTTAAATATTAATTATCTTTTAATTAAACGAGATTGATTTTCTTAAAATCTATTATTTATATGAAAAATAATAAATTTATCTATAATTGTAAATAGTCTTTTTCAATTAACTTACTTTATTAATTGAGTCAATACGAGCTTTAATATGACCATCTAAAATAAGTTGCATTAGTTCATTTTCCAAATCAGTTAATGAAGTATTAAAGCACATTGCCATTTTTCTAAGATCTGCTGAATCATATGGGCTATAAAAGGTGTACAAATTTAATTAATCAAATTTTAAAAACATAATCTTTGAATCAAATAATATATACCTGAAATATTGTATCATTGCTTTACTTCTAATATTGGAGTAGAGTGTGTTAATGTGAGAACCAATGTACATATCAAGAAGTAATGTAGGCTAAAACAAAAAAGTTTTAGGTAATTATCAAAATGATATAAGACAAAACAAGAGCAGGAGTTTAAACCCTAATTATTCTGATACAGAAGTAATAACCAAATAAATGCCTGAATTCAAAATCAAAAAATACTGTAAACAAAAAAAGTCTAAAACAGTTATTACAAAAATTTTTAAATAAAATATATAAAAAACTAATACCCAAAGACACAAATTTGAGTTAAACATCCCGTTAACATTATTTTTGGTATAAAACACACATATTATATACGTAAATCTAAAGTAAATTCAATGAGTCATAAAAACAGTTATCTATCAAGAAAATACAGCTTGCAATAGTAATTATGCACTAAAAAGTTTTCTCTCCATATGAAAACAGTATTTGGAACATTTGCAATAGACCCACTCAAAAGAAGGATCTTTTAACAATGTAATTTGGGAAAAATTTAATTTTATTGATAACTAATGAACTTTTCTTTTTCTCTCACTAAATTTCAATAATAAGATTTAAGAAACCTAATACTTTGAATTTTACTGGTCCCACAAATAGATAAGTTAGGGCCTGTCAATCTTACTTGATAACATAAAGTTTAAGACAATAATAATTTATTAGATATATTATTAATTTACCTTAATTTTATTAAGGATTTTTAAACAGACTTCATATTTAGATTCATAAAATTTAAATATAGCATCACGAACTTCTGGTTCAAGCTCAAGAAACAATTTGAAAATACTAAAAATAGAATTTTTTGAATTAATAAGATGTTAAGGTATTCAATTTAATATTTAAATATATATTAAAAAAAACAATTTACTTATTAGAAATCACAGAAGTTTGCAATTCTGAACGGCTAAATGTAGCCAAAGCACATAATCCTCCATATACAGCAACATCGTTTGGAGTCATTACTTCACAATTGGTATCCCAATAATCTAAATTGGCTTGTAAAAAATTTTGAGCAGCTATTTTGTATTTACGACCTGCTAATTCAGCTAAACCTGTCATGCATTTCAAAGTAGAGCTATATGTAGTCTGCAAATCAGAATTCTAAAATATAACAAAAAAAATTAAAAATTGAACTTTTGAATTGGAAATAAAAGTTAATACTTCTGTGTAATCAGGAGTTGATTCTGCTTTAATTATATAATTAACCACATGAGACCAATTTTGTAAATAAATTCCAACCTAATAAGAACAATTTTAAAACATTTAAAATTAAAAGTTTATTTTATGTTTGACATTCTCTTTGAAAGCTACTGCTTGTGCCAGAGAAGATTGTAAACCAACAAAACCCAGCACAACAGAATCAAACACAGGTACCTTTACAAAGATGTATGTCATATTATCATCTGAACTTGGTATACCATCTTTTAATAAATGAATTTTTATTAAATAGATTTAAATTTATTGAGAAATGATTTACTTTATTTAAATTTCATTAACAACATAATAATACAATCTACAGTTAAAAATATAAATCAAAATCGCTAAAATAGATAGTACTTACTTTAATAATATTCAGACACATTGATATAACATGTGATGAACTAGTACAATAATCTCGAGCCTTAGAGTAACTTTTAGTTGCCTCAATAAGATCTCCACAATTGACATAATGATCACCAATTTCATTATGACCTCGTCTTATACTTTCTTTAATAGAATTACTTTTATAATTTTTTAGATCACCATCAAGTTTTTCAAGTTTCATTGCTGCTTTTTGAGTTGTTGTTTCTACCCAACTAGGGTTGAAAGTAGGTAAAGAATCTATAGGATTAGCTCCAGTTACATCTGGTAGTATATTTCTATATTTAATCAAATAAAAAAATTTAATGAATGAATGATCGTAAATTTTTTAATTAATATTGAACATACCCAACACTTTGTTGAAGTTTTTGATGAAGTACTTGATACAAATTTGCATTCATAGTAGTAATAACATGTGATATAGCTAATCGTAATGCATCGGAACGCATTTTTTGACAATGGTCTGCTATATACATCAATCTATAAATGCGTGCTAAGCCATGATAGTTATTGGCATAAGCCTCTAAATCCTATCCATAAATTTATTATTATTATATTAAACTCAAATAACTAACGAAATAATAATTGAATGACATACAAATGAATCGACATCTACTTCATATAACTCCTCCTCATTGTTATCATTTTCTTCAGGAGGTGCATCAACTTGCATTGGATCTATTACTCCTGCTTGAGAATTACGCATTGCACTCTGAAAAACAAAACTATTTCTATTTAAGAACACTATTTACAAAGAATTGCGTTGAAACTAAAAAACAAAAATAAATACGTTGAAAGATCTCAACGATGCCATAAGAACGCAGCTCGATAAATTAAATGTATTGTTTTTCCGGTGTTTAATCAGTATAACAGTAATATAAGGATCTAATGAAGTTAGAAATCATTCCTCTATTTAGTTGATAAGAGTATATTTTGAAAACGGCAACAACATCAAAGACTAGATCTGGAAATTTAAGGACATGATAAACACACCTAAACGATATGCTCGTAAATATTCGCGCTCTCTAGTTGTATCATTATTAACTACATTATGTTTAGTAACTAATTCGAAAAGATCAAACATTTTCAATAATTACGACATGCGACGTCACATTTTAGTGTAGTACATTCCGTATTACTGTATGTGGCTCCTGTTTGGGCCGATGAGTTCCAGAGACTTATGCAAATGCGAATGTGCTCATTAGGTTCAATATAAAGCTCTATTACGGTTATATGGTGCAGTTGTACTGCCGCCCTAGCAAAGAAACACGTACACACCATTTCTAACATTTTGAAAAAAATGGATTTTTTTGAATTTGTATGTATTTTTTAAGAATTTGATTAACTGGTCACTAGTAGATATTTTTCAATTTAGAATCTAATAAAACAACTGAAAAGGCTGTAGGGCGATTCCTTTTTCCAAAAATTCATATACGTTTATTTTCCTTAATGACATCACCAATCTAAATCATATATTATCTAAAAATAAATCAGTATGTCAATAATATTGATAGAGCTATACGGTTTATTTTAAAACCCTATCTTGAGGAAATTCAATATTTTTATCGAAGAATTAATAGGTATATGATAGTTTTGACGTAATCATTTAAGCAACCTAATGTATATAAACAAAAATGACTTATATTGAACTTTACTAAGCAGTATGTATAGGAAGTTACTACTGTTTTGCTTAGTAAAAGTTTTATACGGTATTTTTTTAGTTATTAGATTTCTTTTCTTCTTTTTCCTCGCCATAATCCCAATTACTTGGGATTTAATTATTCTAAACTTCCACCTGACACGATCTCCCACATCCTCAACGCTTACATCAGCTGTCCTCATATCGCATTCAATAACATCCCTCCATCTCTTTTTTGGTCTTTCTCTACTACTTCTTCTTTTATAATTTATTTCTATAACTACTCTTACAGTTTCCGATTCCTCTCTCATCATAACATGACCAAACCATCTAAGTCTATTTTTTCTCATCTTATCCACGATTGGCGCTACACCTATACTTTCTCTTCTATGTTTGTTCCTTATCCTATCTTCTCTAGTCACTCCACTCATCCATCTAAGCATTCTCATCTCTGCTACACTCATTCTCTGCTTTACTATCTTATCAACCGCCCAATACACTGAACCATACAACATATCTGATCTCACTATAGTCTTATAGAGCTTATCTTTTAGTCTCATTGGAATTTCCTTATTGTATAACACACCAGATATTTCTCTCCACTTTACCTATCCGCACATAATCCTGTGTTTTATATCCTCGTCACTACCACCGTTCTTTTGCACAACTGAACCTGAATACTTAAAACTTTCTACCCTCACCCTACCACCAGGTTACATTGTTTACTGTCATTCTACTCCTATTCTCACCAATAATCTCCTTTATCAGTATTCTTTATTGCTTTATTGTGGTCTCACTACATTCTTGTAGAATTTACCTTTTCAGTTATTAGAGATCTTATTTTATAAAATACCTATAAACCAAATCGTTAATAACTTTGCTTCTAAGCCGAATACAAAAAATTTGCTTAGCTCTATAGATAAGACATAAAATTATCATTATTGTAATAAAATAATCCTTCAATTTTTGGTGTATACGTCCTTCCTAAAAACACATACCTGAGAAAATTAAAAAATTTGTACAAATTTTCTTTATGTAAACAATAAAATTATTGTCTATTAAATAAATTTTTTTGTGTGATTTACTTGATGTTACATATACATGATGTTTGAATGTCGAAATTGCACAATACATAATAATAACTATCAAAATCAATTAATGAACTTTTAATCTATTTCTTATTAAACTTTTAACACTCCTTCAAAGTACAAAAAAAATATTTCTTATATGAAGATAAATCGATAAAATTTGATTCTACTTACCAAAATAAATAAAATTCTGGTTGTGTGTGTAATAGCGATTGTTAATTTAACTTAAATAAAAATACACCTTTTGATTAATTAACAAATCATTATCAATAATGCATTTTAATAAAATTTTATTCATATAAATTAGTCAGTATTCTATTATAAACAACGCCATGCAGACATAAAAAGCTATTGTTATTGTACAATTCATTGGCATTCAATAAATAGGTAATTGATTATATGTACAAAAAATTTCATTTGGTGCGATTAATAATACAGTTTTAAGTACAAAAAAAAAATATATTTAATGAAATCTAATGTGGTGTTAGATGACCATTATCAACAGAAAGAGTGTTAAAAATGTCTGCATGAACATAAACATTTAATTAAAATAACTCCAAATTTCATTATATAAAAATTAAAACAAACTGTTTTATAAATTGATAACATTTACCTTATAACTTTTATGAACATTTTTATATAATAATAAACATTATATATTTACATAAAAAAATATATTCTATTTACTACTTAATCGACAACGACAACTATATTATTTGAAGTTCCAAAACTACAAAAATTTAATGAAAAATGAAGTTTTAAATAATATTGTTTACTATTACAATAATTTAGCGCATAAAAATTGCTTATATTTGCAAATATATCTACAAAATAATCAACAATGTTGTTTTTTCTAAACTTATGTATAAAAATAACATAATGTTCATTAAATAATTATATATATATTAATTACATTAATAGATTCAATTGTTCAACAAATTCAGTACTTATATTTAACAAATGAGTCATTCAGTTTCAGAAATACGAAGACTTTTCCAATATATTTTTTTAGTGAATAGTTAGTCAAGAAAAACTATAACTAAAAAAAAATATTGTTCAGACATACTTTATTTTACTATTAGACAACTCAAATAATAACATATAATTAATGATAAAAAATTATATTTTTACTCTAATACACAGTAGGGATGCTTTTATTGATAGTTATTTTGAGTATGATAAAAATGTATAATGTGTTTCACATGATGCAAGTATTTTTAAATATGACTTGATATTTACATTTTTAGAACTATTACCTATACTATTTTCGTCGGAATGGTTTATGTAAAAAACTTCAATATCATTATTTAAAATGACAATGCATAATTAGAAAAGGTAATATTAATTTATTAAAAAATATGTTTTTATGATGAAATTTTAAGGAAGGAAAAGATACAATAAATAAAAAAAAACTATAGTAAAAATACTCTTCTAATATAATTAGGTATAATTTTCAGTTATTAGTCCTTAGTATAATAAACGTACCATTTGTTCAGATGGTTGAATTTTAAGTCAATGAATAAAGATAATATCCTCAATTGGTTAAAAAAACATTTATTATTCTAAGTTTTCAATTATTTTGTATATATTTGATTGTAATAAAAATAATCTAATTTTAACTTTATTTAATGTTTAAGATTTCATTCGTAATTAAATTAAATATTTTTATCGTAAACTAATTGAGCAATTTTTAGTTGATAGGTAAAAGTGACAAGTAAAATGTTGTCACTACTATATATTTATTGTTTCATTAAAAAAAATTAATTAATTTAATTTAAAATGATTCTGTAAATGAAGGAGATAAAATAGTCTTTATTGATTTTTTTTCAATATTATTCTTATTAAATAAATGCATTGTAATTTTGATATGTAATATATTTGAAAATTTCAAGAAATAAAATTAATGTAAATATTTTTGTGAAACCATTTATAAAACTTATGTGGATCTTTCTTTGGTTTCATATAGTGGCGATGCCAGAGAAGGGGCTATGCTTCCTCGTTGATCTCATTATTTATCTCTAAAATTAAGTGATAAACAAAAAAAAAAATTTTGAAATTTGGGATTATGTAGATTTTTTTGATTATGCGCCACTCATTTAAAACTTTTGTCTACGCCACTGGTTTCATATAATTTGGTAAATCAGTTCAGAAGTGGATTAATCAATAATAACATAGAAAAAGAAAAATTGAGAGGAGCCTTCATAAAAATAGTGTGCAATTGAAATTTAAACGAAGGTCCTAATTTATTTTCGCGAGAAAAAGAGCCATAAAACTTAAAAAATATTAATTGCAAAAATACCAAAGATTCTACCACTTAGAGACGAATTTCTTTCGACTATGAGTAAACTACTCTAGGAATCCAATTTTGCTTCTTAAGAAAATCCTATATGCACTGTGAATATAGGCTAATATTATATTAGTTTGACATTAAAATGCTTTATTATAATTGTATTGTGTGGTTAATTCGTTTTTACAGTAATACTTTAAATCAATATATATTTTTTTAATTTTAATTAAAATGGTAGGTAAGAAATTAAATTGATAATTAACACCATCAATAATAATTTAACTAGCATGCTAAATTTGTCAGCAATATTTATATACAATTAACAATTAATTTTGTATTATAGGCTAATTCATACAAAAATTAAAAACTGTATCACGTAGACAGATCATGTTGATTTCAGTTTACGTCGTCTGCGAGCCCAATAGTTTTTTGGTATATTAAATGATCTTCTAGCTATATATGTCCCAAATACAGCAGACTGACTGGATAGTGAAGTTGAATCATTTTCACTATTAGAACCCTGATGATCCTCCAATTTAGAATCCATCCTTAAAATAGTAATATTAATTTTATGTCAGTTAATTTTAACCCCAGAATAAATTCTATTAGCGTTATTCTTAACGTTGTTTGTTATTTCACAAATAAAATAATACAAAAGGAACTAGTTGATGAGAATATACAGTAGTCGTCTTAATATATAATAATGTACTCTTAGATTTTGCCAGGGACTGTAAACGTGACCACGTAATTATACCATTAATTATGTTAATTATTACACACCAAAATTGTTGAAAACTATGGCTTTTATAAAATTTGAGTTTCTATTATCAAGTTGTAGGACATTAAAAAATGAATTAAATATTAAATATTTATTTAGTTACAATAAACCACGACTGTTACAATAAACTATTTTCTTTGATAAATTTATAAAAAAAAATATTCCATTGATGTTTTAAAAATTTAATTTAATATATTTTGAATAAAATATACATACATATATATATATATATTAAGTAAAGCCATTATTTCTGTATAAAATTCTAATGATAAATAGTTCAGTCGTTATACATTTGTATGTGTATAACACATTTAGAAAATTACTGGGCATCAAGATTAAGGTTGATGTCAAATTAATTTAAATCAAACCAAATGTTTCTTTAGAAGTTTCAATAAATATTTCATCTTTATTTTAAGGTATTACAAAAAAATCGAAAAGCACTTTGGTATTTTGGACTTGGATGTTAGGGTTATGATTCCCCTTTCCAAAGTTTTAATCTACGTAAAGTAGGATTTGGTAAATTATATATTCAAACAGATCGCTGTGAATTCATTAGACCATTTCACTTATTACGGTTCAGTTGAAGCAGATCAACGACTAATTGAAATAGTGTGTTTTACTGAGAAATATATATTACTATTGCCTCGATAAATTATTTTAATAAATATTTTACAGAAAACTTCAAATTTTTAATGGAATTTTATTAAAGAGAACTTGACTGATCTGTTTTTGACATTTTATTGAAACATACTGTTTGGTTTATTAATAATGTAAGTATAAAGGTTAACTTCGCTTAGATGACATGGTTTTTACGCATCTTGCAATTATTAAACTTCATGGTTTAATTTAAAAGCAAATGGTTTTTATAAAAGTTTTAAAAGAAATATTAATTTTATTGAAAAAGTATCTTTTGAAATTTTTTTTTTTTAGGAACTTAACATATATATATATATAATACATTACAAGTTTTACTTACAATGAACGATACTTAACGACTCGTATTTGTTCTTCCAATTCGTTAATTTTTTCGTTAAGCTTAACGTTTTGATTATAATATTCAGACACAAGACTGGACAATCTGGACGTCACATCTTTCATTGTCGTATCTGAAAACATTAATTGATTAAAACAGGTTCTAGTATTGATTCTAGAATGTCATTGTAATTAAAAAAAATATGAATTTGGTTGTTAGTTAAATGGATTTTATCATTGCATTTGTAACTATTATTAGTTTCTAGCGTTGTTATTCACAGGCATTAGCTTTTTTACCGATAGTCGGTTAATTTGTTTGTCACATTTGAACGAGGACAAACGAGTTAAAAAAAAATAAAATAAAATAAAAACTATACCCGAAACTGATCTCTCCCTTTTGATTCTTCCCTTCCCTCGGTTTATTAAGCGCGTATGTAAGCCTTTTTGCTACAGAACTTTTACTCGTGCATTGTTCCAGTTGTGTAAATATACGTCCCTATTGTTTTATACTTGTGTGTATGTTTTCCATCTCTCTTGTTTTTCTATTCATTCCCGTTTCTCCATCATTTGTCTTTAAACCCATTACCACGGTCTTGAGAATAGAACCGACCGTCAAACATATTATATAGTCGCATACGCCCTACGTCGTCTAAGTGCAAAGGCGACGGACGAACAGCAGTAACTGAATGATATAGGGTAGTGCTCTAAGAATGTTAATGGTGGGCAAAATGAGCGGCTACAAATTGCCCGACCGTGGCTAAAGTAAAGCTTACTGAAACCTTTCCCAGAGATCATGCACGTTGTGTTATACGTGTTAGTTGGCTCTTGGCTAACGTACAAACTTGTGTAAATTGTTTCTTATCTGGCCTGACCAAAACAGTGGAGATATTCGATTTTCGCTTTGCTACCTTCGTTCGGTTATCTGTTTTACCAGGTTTACTATCTCGGGATGAGGCCATTTTTATATATCCATCAATACCCCGATAGTCTGACAGCAAACAATCATAATCTAGATAATTTTTATGAATGGTGTAGTTAAATCATTGAAATACTCGTATTACTATAAATTCAACTGTTGTCTATTGTTTCAGTAAAGCAACACTAGTTTAAAGTAAGTAACTTTTTTTGCCCGTTAAGAGTTCATGTATATAAACTGTACAAAGTTTTGAAACTTCCATTAAGTTTTATTTTAACACGAGAGTTATTAAAATTTCAGCCTATATAAGTTTTATGATAAAAATTTAAATAAAAATATATCACGTCGATACTAATAAAAATAAGCAATGAAAAATGATCATCTACAATAATAACAACAAAAAATACTACTTGCAATAATTGGATTAAAAATAAAAACTTATATATGAAAAAAGGCTTTAAAGAGGTTTTATATCACGTTTTGAGGAGTTTAAAATTAAACTCTGTAATCATGTATAGATATGTTCTGTATAATATGCAGAATATTTATTACATATAATTAAATAAATAAGTAAAAAAGGTGAGAAAATAGATAGCAAAAAAAAATCGAACTAAACAGCAAATGAGCTATTATTAAAAGTACATAGATTCGGTAAGATATATTGAAAATTATTAATATGAATATATTTATTATACCTAGACGAGATACTGCCTCATTGATGGTTTCGTTTTGCGTCTGGGCTTGTAGGAAAGCGTCTTCATCTAAGAGCCTATCCTTTCGTAGGAGCTGGCAGCCACGTTGCATTAAACTGTGCCTTGCCTCTGGATAATCTCTGAGCGTTTCCCAAAGATCTCTTTTAGACAGACAAAATAAATCCGAATACCCTAAGCTTCGAACATTTGCTGTTCGCCGATTTCCAGTCTTATTTCCGGCTATTTCCAATACACTAACCTATAGAAATAAATAAAAACAAAAGTCGATTTGTAAAAAGTTCTGTATATTTGTTTGTTCATTTTGTGCACATTGCTAATTTTTTTAAATGCTACGGACTTATTTAATGTTTTAGTTAAACTTTAACTATATATTTAAAATTATAAGGTTTACCTTAATAAGTTTAATAAGTTTAATAAATAATAAGAATTATAATTGTTCTTTTGTGTGGCCCGATTGCAAACAAAATAATTTAGTTCTCATATTACTTTAAGGTCGAGTTAACTTTTAAACAATTTCTTCTAATTAAATGTTTTAAATGTGTACAGGCGCATATTTCAATTTTAATGAATTAAAATTTTAATTAATGTGTAGATTCAGAGGCAGTGAAATAGAGGATTGCGCCTTTTCATCGGATCATTATTTCCAATTAAATTTTTGTTACATGATTTATTTATCTATTAATACGTTTATTTACGATGAATTTAAGTTCATTATCTTAATTAGATATATTTCTCAAATTAATTTCATATTTATTCAATATTTTTCATTCTCAAACATTTTCCGATGCGCTTTTTTGGGAGATTACTAAATATGCAATTAAAATGTTATAAAATTGGAAATTCTATAATCCCGTTATACATATTTAAATATAAAATATTATTTTTTAATGTTTGTAATTATTTCAACCTTATTTTTAATATTACAGGATAATTAGATACTAATTGTATTACCTCTCCAAAAACACTTCCAGCACTTAATGTGGCAATTTCAGTTTTTTGATCATCAGCGACTACGCTAAGAATTCCTCTCTTCACTATGTACATCTCTTTGCCCACATCGCCTTTGCGGCATATGTAGTCACCGGGACTAAACACCTATTTAAATTTATTAAACAGTAATAAACATTCAGAATGTATTGATTATTAGACTAAATTGAATAAATGTTATTATATTAACCTGAAGTCTTAGTTTGAGCACGAGCTCTTCTAATAGACCTGGTTCACAGTCCTGGAATATCTCTACTTTTTTTAAGGTATCGAGATGCACATGAATAGCTATTTCAGCTTTTAATTTGTCAGGTAACGCTGCTAAAACTCTTTCCTCGTCTAAGGCCTTAAATTTAAAAATCGATTGATATTAAAGGTTACAAATAAAAAATAATACTGATGCATTACTTTGGTATTATTTTGACAGTTATAAATTCAATATACAATAGTAGAATAATATTAAACTATAGATGAAATACAATAAAATTTTTCTTATTTAAACTTTTAAAAATTCTTCAGATTTTCCATTTGATTTTGGAAAAAAATTCATTTTTAGTTTTACTGGGAATTATGATATAAATCAAAACTGTAAACAAATTAAAATGACTTCCACTATTGTTTCAGCAAATATACTTGTAATCAAAATTGTAATTTAAAATTTTTAAAACATAATTTATTACTAGTGGTGTCAGAAATTTCGGTGAACAGGTCTGGGACCAGAAATTTTTAAATAAGTAAATTTTTTACTTATCCTATATAACCTAATTTATTTAAATATAAGTCATAGACTGTCAAACATGTTGAACTTTAAAGCTACACTGTCGCTATTAATGCCAAATTAAACATATTGAATTAAATTAATAAAAATAAACTAGGAAATATTCATACAGTAATTATTTTATTTAAAAATGACTGAGTTTTTATTGTTTACCAACCTAACTTATTTACTTTTATTGGTTTGGAAAATTACTATTATAAAATTTTTATGTGTAAAAATGTATAAATAAAAGTTTTTTTTAAATATTAGGTACCACAAAGAAGTATATACATTTTTGTCAAAAGAAATTCTTTATTGTGACATATATATTTTGTGAACAGGTAAATATCTTAAATTATAAATGAAAATAGATGGAACGATTTTAATGAAAGCAAGCTATAATTATATCTCAAAATGTGTTAATCTCAAATGTTTTTAAAAAAATATTACCTAGGGTTTTTAAATTCCGAAAGAGTTTCCACACGTATTTAAGATAAAATATTAGGTATTAGAAATTTTATATCATTTTAAATTTGTCTTGTTACGGTATTTTTCTAATTAAAAATTTGGTTTATGTATACAATATTTGTTTTTATTGTATAAACAAAATTAAAATAATGTGTGACAAACTATACATTTCTTTTAAAATGAAATTCGCAATGAGAGTTTCCTTTGACGTCAATGACTTACATCATATAGTTAAAACATAATGAGGTCACATTTAAAAGAAAGCAATTTTCAGTATTGAGATCGGGTTCAAATATCAAACACGTGATAAAATGTACGCATTCGAAGTTCAATAAGTACAAAAATCCACCCCAACCAAACCGTTGGTTCCGTATCGTCTGAGAATTGTTATTTTCTAACTATAATAGTATTTTTATAGTTAGAAAATAATACTATTTTATAATATAATTATAGTAGAGTACAATCTTAATTCTTATTAAACGGCTTGCCTGTTTATTTGCCCAGGTATAAGCGAACCATCTAATAACTCTTGCTTCAAGCTCTTTTGACACTCGCCTAAAAGCCATGTATTGTTTAACACCATCCATACGATTTTGGAATTCAACCCTAGCCACATTCATGTTGCTGATCATACTGCCAATATTACCCACGATCGTGGCGAATATGAGTACTCCGGCCAAAAAATCGGCAACTACAAATACATGTTCCAATTCATTTTCCGGTTGCGGAGTTTCTCCTATAAAAGAATTCAACAACATATTTAGTAGTTCTCACTTAAAGAGTGGTATGTAAATATTATACTTAGTCTATTAGAATTAAATATATTTAAGGTTTTAATAAATGTTTATAGTGCGAAAAAAGAATAATTTTTCACTTATCTTAAAATTAGGTTGTTTTAATTGTATAAAACAATAGTATTTTAAGTATAGTATTTTTGTTATTCAACATTAAGGATATTAAGTTTTTTTATACAAGTTTATTTCATATATCATTTTAAAATCATATTTTAGTTTTTACATTTTTATAGCAAATCATTATTTAACAAAAAAAAACTATTTAAAAAGAAAAATGACGGTACGTTACACATTATGATATACTATCCCATCCTGAAAATAATCTTAAGCAGTGTCCCTGTTTACGTCATATTATTATTAAATGTAACTTAAATAACATAAAAATTAGAAATTTATTCTTATTTATCTATAATATATCCAACAACACTATTTTTAACGTATTTTTTGTATTCATAAGTAACACATTCGTCTGATCAAAAATGTTTTCAAATGAAAATTTAAAATAATTTTATTTACTTTAAAATAAGTCTAATGTGGTTTATTTTATCTTATGAATCGACAGCGTGGAGCTAATTTATGAAGATGTATACATTGTTTACATACGGTAAACATTAACTGTTGTTAATGTGCCATTTCAAAAAACATTGTAGAAAAATAAAATTTCAAAGATACTTGATTTCATCTTAATACATAATTTTAAATAGTGGAAGGTAAGAAAAAATCCCAACACAGTAGAGTCGCAGCATAATTGGGATAATTATAGATGATAACTAAAAATGATTAACATCACTATCATGAAAATCACTTCGATGCAAGTCTATAGATAGTATTTAATTTTTAAAAGGAATTTTTGAATTATTTAAAAAGTAACATCAACTCCTATTTTTTTCATTATATCATGATTACAAGTTTTAAGATTTATATGTATAAAACAGAAATAAATAGTTATTATAAATACTAAATTTAGTAAATTAATGATATTCAATAATTTAAATAGTAAAATTTATGGACAAATAATATAAAAAAAATCTGTTAAATTTTACAATAACTTTTATACTTGTAATTTTAAAATTTCTTTACTTAAAAATTCCACTAAAATATGTTTGATAAATATTTGTTTAAAATCATTTTTTTTTTAATTTTCAATACTTTATTTTGACGGTCGATTTTTTATAGTAGATTGTGGACAATCTACTATTTGATTGTGAACAATTGTGGAGAAAAATTTGTTTTTTAATATTGTAGTATACTTCAGTAGATTTAATTTAATATAAGGTCAAAAGTTGTCAGACTTTACGGAACATTTTTTAAAATTGAGTTGAAAAAAAGTTTACTCTTAAACTCTTCTTGTACTTTGGTTTCTTATCGGATTTTCACAAAAATTGTATAAAAAGAACAATTACTGTCTTTATTACAATTAATTCAAATTTTATTAGAATATTTGTTTTTATAAAAATTTGTAAAGAATTTTTGAAAATGTAATTTTTTATGGTAGCGCAATTTTGAGATATTTTTTAAATTTCTATATTCAACTAGGTTCAAATCTTGTTCTTTTGGCATAACGATTATTAAAATCGGTCCAAGATAGCTGAAAATTTTCATGACAGACATAAAAAACACACACAAAACTTAACAAAATCAATATATTCTCATCTTCGCATCGCAAATAAATAAATATATTTAAAAATTTGAATGAATATTATTACATTTATTGTAATGTGATGATCATAGTAATGTTAACCATCCGTATAAAAATGAATAAAATTGAATACCTTCTCAGCTTAGTAACAAAACTAAAAGTGTATAGATTTTTGTTAAGATTAACTGTTTGAGTTATTTTCAAATTTAAAAAAAAGCCTAATGAAGGTCAACATATTTTAAGATTAAAATTATTATTTTTATAATTTATAGACTGATATTACATTTATGATCAATCATTTACATTACAACATATAAACATCAACGATTTTAATCTTTAAAATTTAAAATAAATTATTACTGTACACTAATCGTGAACTTAAAGCTGTCAAAGCTATTTCAGAGGGTAATTTTCCCTTGGGTTCTTTTGAATTTATTCCTTAATGATAAAAAATCTATCCTCCTATTACGACCATTGCGCCTTTAGAACGTATTCTAAAAAAACGAAAACCATAATAGACGTCAGAATTCTACGGCCGCCGAGAGAGCTGACATAATCTTGAGTGTCATGACGTATAGTATTGGTCAAATGGCTATCATTTTGTATTATGCATAGCTACTTTAATAGTTGAATACTGTTCCTTGAACTTTGCTATTTTGGTCATCGAGAAAAGATCTAATAGGTTTCACTAATATTCAAAAACGTTATCATTTGTGTCTTTTGTTAAATTTTTTTATATAATACAGGATAATCATTAAGGCATTTTTATTTTTTTATCGTCCTTTTTCTAACCTAAACTTATAAAAATGCTCCAACAGATTATATTTATAAGTAACATAAAATATAATAGAGGGTAAAAAATTTCCTAATACTTTTATTGTCCAGTCGTTTTTGTATATTTATAAATTCAACACATTTGAATGATTCAGTTTTATTTTAAGGACATCCAAAATTATCTTCGTAATATTAAAAAAACAACTAAATTAATAAATAATGATTAAGTATGATCTTAAAAAAATTGAATTGAGTTTTATATTTTAACGTATATCATGATAAATTCTTTAAATTATTTTAGATTTTCACTATAAAACCCAGTTTCAAAGTATTAATTAAAGTTATGTAAATTTTATATCATTAAAATGTATAAAAAAAAAATTTTTTTTTAATAAAAGTATTAGTTTAATTTTAATTAATATGTGACTTGTTATTGAAAATAATAGAACACAACATTAGTGATATTAAGAACTATATCTAATTTATTTATTTTTCATGGTCTTGTGTTTAAATTTTTGTTAACTTTAAAATGACTGAGATGAAATGGATTTTTATTTATAAAAATACATTTCATCGCAGTTATTTTAATTAAAACATATATGTTTTGGTTCATGTCAGTTTTGATCTTAAACGAACGATGTGAAATATTATGGAGTAAAGACCGTCCTAAGAGTCATTTTTCCTTTCAATATCTGTCAAATGTTTTGTTTTTATGTAGGTTTTTCTGAAAATCGATTTATGTGAGTACACATTTTGTATTATGTAAGGTTCATTTATTAACAAAAAAAAAATTACTCTACTTCAGTAAAAATTAAAAAACTTTATCCTTTGAAGTCTCTTTTGTTTTCTTTTTTGATAGACTAATCCAATATTAAAAAATGAACAAAAGAGTTTTAGATTAAAAAATTGAAAAATGATCTTTCTCTTAAGACTTATTATATAATAAACATTGGGCACGTGTTTGAATTGTCAATTATACAACCGACATTTTGTCTTATATAAAAATATAACATAAACATAATTATAATTGTTTGTTATTGTGTGTTTAAAGATATTTACTTTTCGTTTTAATAGAACACGTGAAATATTCTGAAAATGAAGTACTTTTCATTAACACCCATTGTTTATTTTATCAAATGTGTTACACTTCTAACTCTAAAATATTACGGTGATCAATAAAATGATGAAAAAGACAATTTTTTAACTGAGTTTTTATTGACTGGCAGCTTAAAAGAATTAAAAGTTAACGTTCGGCATAAATTTATTAATGAAAAATAGATTTGAGTAAAATAACATAATTTTTAAATAAGATATCATTTTCCATCAGAGCAATTAGTTTTAAACATTTTTCTTATATAGCTCTTACTTATTTTAGCTTCGATATAAAGTTGAGAAGGTATTAATTTTACTTTGATGTGTTTTTTTTTTGTTTATATCTGTCGCCACTTTTTTTCAGATTTCGCCGGACGATTTCTTTCAATGATACGTCAAAAGTTAACAAATTGTATCTAATTGAGGATATTGCACTTAAAAATTTAAAAAAATTCCGTCTTTCCTTATACATGTGAGATCCAACAATAAATTTTTGTATACATAATTTTTATATAATATACATATAAATTATAAACCTTGTAATCATGATATATTTAAGGAAATAGGAGTTGATGTTGCTTTTGAAATAATCTAAAAATTCCTTTTAAAAATTAAATACTATCTATAGACTTGCATCGAAGTAATTTTTATGATATTGATGTTAATCATTGTTAGCTATCATCTCTACTTGTCCCAACTATGATACGTCAACATTGTGCCGTGACTGAAGTACCGTTTTTTATTTTCATTATGACGTTATGTTATTGCTGTAATTTAAACTTGTATTTTTATGAACTTAGTAAATATTAAGTTCAATGTAAGAAAAAATGATTTCTAAGAGTGGATTTTTGGAAAGCTCAATGAAAACCGTCTGATGTTTTATTATTAAATTGAAAATTATCTAAATAATATTTTGAATGAACGATAATAATTAATATATCTCAAAAGTTAATATTACGATTTTTTATAGTAATTTTTGAGATAACAGAACTTAAATATTTTAAAAAAGCGAGGTGTTGGGTAGTGTTTAGCGAAACTCATGTCATAACACACAGATAAGAATTCTTGTAAGTTGCTCATCTCTATCGCCTATAACTCAACAAAATATTAACTCATAAAGGAATAATACAAAACTGATATATTTATCAAAACCATTCTCCAAGTTTTAAAGTTTGTAGAACTCTTAATAAATCACTTTTTATAATACAAGAGTAAAATATATTATTATTGATTTTTTTCTTAGTTCTATAATATGATTTAAAATAAAGACGCCAAATTATTCAATAGTATTATAACTCTCAATAAATTATGTTATTTGATAGTATTAGGTGTTAATTTATGACAATTTAATATTAATCATACTATATTCTTATTATATTAAATATAAACACAGTATTTGCATAATTTTTTTAACATACTAAATTAACATTCTAAGGTGAGAAAAACTTGTCTTTATACCGATTATTTTCTACAAATAATCTTAATTTAAATTTTTAGCTTCGATGCGAAGTTGAGAAAGTATTAAGTTTACTATGATGTGTTTTTTTTTTTTTATTATTATTATTTTTTTTGTGTCTGTTACCACTTTTTCTGAGCTCCCACTGAACCTATTATAATTGTTGCAATACATTGATACGATTAAACTTCCGTTGTAATTATTTTTCTAATAATTTTTGCATTCATAGGCTACATTTAAATTATATTTTTAATTATTTAATTTTAATAAAAAATATTTAATTTTAATTTTTTGAAAATTTTAAAATAACCGTATTTATCTTAGAAAAATGTTTGATAGGTCGATAACAACTTTAGGATTAGTACTTATTGTGCTACAAGCATTTTTATACGTAGAGTGGGTTTGCAGCATGTGTAGTGTATGCGTTATAGATATACACTAGTACAATCTGTAGCCAATTTGTAGCTACAAACCAATTCTATGTAATGCTTGTAATTCAATTGAAAGTAGGACTATATTAGGAAAAATAATTATAGACTTCGTTATGAGGTACTAAGTCTTTTTTGATAATTACCATTTTTAAAGTCTTTTTAGTCGCTGTTTTGTTACAGTCTATTTCTATAAAAGTTAGACCTAATAGCTTCGATGCGAAGCTGGGAAGGTATTTGTTTTACTATGATGTGTTTTATTTTGTGTCTGTTACCACTTTTTCTCAGCTCTCACCGAACCGATTGCTTTCAACGATACGTCAAAAGATCACAAATCGTATCTAGTCGAAGAAATTACCCTCAAAAATTGAAAAATTTTCCCTNTGTAGCTTTTGGAATAATCCATTAATTTTTTTTAATTAAACACTATCTACAGATTCGCATCAAAGTTTTTTTTATAATAGTGATTTTAATCACTGTCAGATATCATCTAAACTGGACCCAACTATGCCACGACCCCACTGTGCCGCCACTCCACTGTGCTGGATTTTTTAGTATTCAATTTTATAAACTAAAAATATACAGAGTAAATAATTAATAATAAAACCATTAATTTACTCAGAAATAATTGAATACATTCAATTTTTCTAAAGGAATATATTGTTTAATTAAAAAAACTCCAATAATATGTAGTCAAGTAATGTTTATTTGTCCAATCACGGTTAAAAAGTCTAAACTCTAATTTTCTTTAATGGGATTCCCTATTATTAGTTATGACAGAAAACAAATTTTCAAATAAATTTAATCTTATAGTATTTTAAATTCAAATTTTTCAACAACTTTAAAACGTAATTGGTAATAGGAAAAAAATTATAGAATCCAAATTTTTTGGAAATTTTTTGTTTCATATAATCAGACTATAAAAAGGGGTTCCCATTAAAGAAATTTAAAGTTTAGAATTTTTTATTCTTAAAGAGATGAAATAAAGTATTTAACTACTTATTTGTAGAATTATTTAAATCATACATAATTTTTTTTTACAAAAATTCAATAGTTTCTAAGTAAATTAGTGGATTTGATCTTAATTGTTCATTCTGTAAATAAAACATCTATTAAGAAAAAATAATGAATTATAAAATAATATATCCTTAAAAGTCTCTCTTGGATACTCTTCATTCATTAATTTATCAAAATTTTCTTTCCATATCTTTTTACATATTCATCATTCGTTGACACCCACTTATCACCAATGTGTGTAAGCCATATGTTTTAAAAATCCCTAGGTCATATTTTTTATCCTTTGCTAATTTATAAGCGTCTCAAATATAACATTTATATATAACTTAATATGTTTTGTATTTTATATTTTTGTAAGTATATTTCTGATAGACTGTCACTTGTTTGATTATCCATTATTAAATGTTCTTCTTGATTTTTAATATTATTGTTATAACCAAAGTTGATATAGTACCGTATAATTTTAGGTACGCTTAATATATGTATACCTTCTCTTTCTCATTAGGTGCTTTTTTACATTGCCAGTCCAGTCTGATTAGAGTATCATCACTTTCTAAGTAATATGAAAAATTTATTTTTATGGTCGCGGCCGACGGTGAACGCTCTTTCGGTTTTTGACGTCTTACGTTCTTACCCAACCGCCTTTTGCCAACTTTTCTTTTTTGTTCTTTTCGACTCCTTTTTAAATATAACCAGCTAAAATTTAACTTTAATTGTTCATTTATTTCAAATATATTCGTTTGTGACATTTACTAATAATATATTTGTAATAATTCCGTTGTATAAATAATATTTAAATAAAATTGTCGAACCGGTCAGTGCCGTTTTAATACTTGTTATACATTATTTTATGTGTTGTGTAATTCTATACTATCGGCTCATAGATAATTAAAAGATAATCGTGTAAAAATGAAATGGGTTTATGATATTAGTAGAAGTTATTATTTCATTTGTTTATTAAGTTATATTGTAATATATTTAAAGTTTCCATTTTAAAAATACACATTTTAAATATAACAAAGTGTCACATTAATATTAATATTTACAAAAATATATAATTTTTAAAATACAATTTCAAAAAGAAAAGGATCTAAAAGTAGAACAACGCCAACCTCGTTAATACTTCGGTTACTCATTTGTTGAGAAGCAGCCAACTGGTTATACACAAAGTTGTTATTGGGCATGGTGCCATATAAAACACCTCAAGTAGATAAAATATACGCTAAAACGATAAGTATTTTTCATCTTGTAAACTTGTCGATGGGTATTTGAAACACATTAAAAAAAAATTAACAAATCTACCAAATATTGTATGATTTTTGTCTTTAGAAGGTGATTATTCATAGAATAAATTGAAAAATAAATGTTCATATGACTTTAAAGCCCCCACAGTACGTTGATTTATGATTGTATTTTTAAAAAAGTATGTTGAAAATAAGGTAGGATTTAAGTATTATTACTAAAATTTTTATTATGATCCAAGTATTATTTAAATACTTAAAGCTGTTTATTATTACCACCAAAAATTAAGTATAGACTTGAAAAGCCAATTTCTTATAAAAGGCAGGTCGTCGGAATGACTTTCTGTTTTAATCGTATAGTACTTTTTGAAATTTTATTTAGTTTGAATGGTGCGCATGTTCTGCTGCTATGCAAAATACTTAAAATTTAATAATTTTACTCATTTTTGAAGTATTACCAATAAAAAGATGCAATATTTTATTTACATTAAATCAGTTTTTTTAAGATAATTTTTCTACTAATTCTTGAGTTTCGTCCCAAAGAATCTTCTGGTTGATTTAATGTGTGCTCTCTTATTCTGATTTAATTCGTCAAATTTATAGCATTTGCTATTTATACAACTAAGTGTACTTGATGTGTTACTGAATATTATAAACTACGTGTGTTCTTGTTTGTTAATGAATTGAATTGTCATGAGGATTGAAACCGCTTTTGCAGTGTAGATATAGGACTTGATGTTGACTTTAAACAGCTATTTTTTGTTTTAAAAAATTATTGCAATTCCAATACTCCATCTTTTGTATTAAACGTGTCTGTGTATACTTGTAGGTATTTTCGGTGTTTTCCTACAATGTTTTTGAAATATTGAATAAATACTCGGAGGGTGTTTGATTTTTATGGAAGCGTTCGATTTTGTAGTTTTTCAAGGACTCCTTATGCTGTTCTCTTTAGTTGGTATATGTTTTGTGTTTATTGTGCACTTTTCAATTTTTGTGGCACTGATAGCTTCAATTAGTTACATTTTGTGATATTTTGACGTATTGTGGAGTAAAATCGGTTCAGTAGGAGCAAAAGTAATGATGCATCGGACACAAAAAAAAAACACGGAAATAGCTTTTTAACTACACATCAAAGCTAATAGAAATAGTATAGGGTACATAATAGTCAATGGAGCTTTTATTTTAAAACAATTACGAATTAAAAAATTGGCTTACTTACCAATAGTCGTAAGCGTTAGAGTAGACCAATAAAAACAATAAATATATTGTCGTGACAGCGTAGAATTTCTAACACCTTGTATGTTGTAAACCCAGTTGTCCGAACCAAATCCAATTACATAACTAATTGCAAAGTATAAACATGAGTTCCAATGGATCAGTATCAGTATGGCAAATACCACTTTACAGATACGAAACACATTTGGATACCCAGTTTTTGTCTCCGTACGATCAAAAAACTCGAGCATCCTAGGAACTCTAAGCAATCTATTTGCCCTAACAATGACTGGACAAGGTAAGACATCCGCTGAGCAACTACCAGAAGGCCACCAAAAGTACGCTAGGTCAGTTGGCAATAGACTCAGTATGTCTGATTTCCATTTCGATGTGCTAAAGTAATTTTCTCGCAGCTTTCGCGAATCTCTAACCATTAAACCTTGGTCTAGGAACCCTGAAAAAATAAAAAATTTATTAATACAAGGCATATTATTTATTTGGAGATTATTGTGAGTAAATATCGTATTTATTAAATATTTTATAATGATTGTCCAATGAAGACATTAGAATTATCTAAGAGCATAATAGTTAATTATTTCAACTTCATGAACAACACATAATTCAAAATAAATATTTATTCATGCTTATACTAAAATATTTGTCATTAATATTCCATCATTTTTATAAATATTTAATATCTCAATAAACAGAATATTTGTCTATTGATAATTTATAAGAATGATACACTAAATCATTGTCAATAAATAAAAATTTAATAAAATAAAAATCATGTCTGATAACGACTTTAAAGTTAAATATCTTTATAAAATAAACTTCAATTAATAGCTCTAACTTTCCAATAATAAATGTATAATACACTTATGGCTCTATACGTTACAACTTTCAAGAGAACTACTTAAAACTACACAATAACGTTGTCTATATATTCTACATCGAGTTGGACCTTTTTATACTTAAGACGATCGATTTTTACCATCATTGTGTTATGACTTATTCTACAATGAACTTCTGAGCCAATAGATGAAGTTACCGGTGGAAAGATGAATTTCGATGAAAGATTTTTTTTTTAAAATAATTCACAGAAACGCGAACAGAATAAAAGTAATCTTATACAATAAAATTAAATATTAGAAATAATAGAACAATAGGCACTTCTTATGAGAACATCACAGATAAATAAAAACAATAGACAAATTTTACAAATTCCTCAATTTTATAACACATTATTTTTTGTAGAGAAAAAAGTAATTATATCAAAATTATAATGTAAAAATTAAATAATTTATAATAAGATAATGTATGCATTTTTTTTCATTTCAAAATAGGTACATGTTACATAAAACTTTTGTTATTATACTACATTAGAAACGAGAATGGAACAAAGAAGTTTAACAATTAAGATTTAAATGTTCATAGATAACATAAGTTGTATACTTAAACATAATTGTTTAAAATGTAAATTAAAAGTAACACTGTACAAAGCATTAACTCGTTGAAATTTATGTAATGTTAATGAAATACATGACAGTAGATCGACGACATATGAAAGTGTAAATTGACTTAANCCAGTAGATCGACGACATATGAAGGTGTAAATTGACTTAATATTATTTATTTACAAAGTACAATAATGCAAACTGAGAGATAGTTAAGGAAAATAATCGCATATATATATATATACTTTTTAATTCGTCTAAAAATCTCTTTTACTATTAAGCGTTTCGTAATTTTCTAAATATACTTGTTTAAAAGAAAGATCCAAATTAGATTATTTACTTTACAGTACAAAAGAACTAAAAACATTTACATATAAAACACAAAGAATTTGCTTTGCATATTAGAATTGTAATATGGCGTTATAGCCGAGTTAAGCCGATAAAATTTAAACTTTATCGACTGTTTAAATTTATGATGTTTGATAACCCAAACTCAAGAGAAAATAATTGCGTTACCAACAAAAAGGTTTTTAATAGTTAACGTTCAACTGTTTATTTTCTTTAAATTCCAATTTTTCTTTGTGCCTGCGGCTTTAGCCATGTTTAATGTAATTTACATAAACATGCGAACCTCTGTAAAAAATAGTTGAACAATACAGTCTATATGAAAAAAAAGTTATTAAGAAAAGTTATGTTAAAAGGAAATTATAGGGAATGAATAATTATTTGTTGTGTTTGTATGGTTATAAAAATTGTCATCTTATGTTGCTAACTAAGTAACAAAAGCCACATAGAATATTATTTCATTAGATCATATTTTAAAAATAACTATGAATTATTTAATTCCATAAATGTGATGTAACTATTAACACTACCTCATAGACATGCCAAAACTTTTTGTAAAACCAATAATTTCATAAATGATACAATGAATTCAACGAGCATTATCCAAGTACCTCTACACTTTTATGAAACCATACATTGTGTGACAGAGTTGTCGTGTGTATTTAGGAGCGAATGACGTTGGTCGATACGAGGTATTATCAATATTTGCTAAAATTACTTGCATCTTACTCTTTAGTACTGATGGTATGAGTGTATTTTTATAAACGCTTATACATGCTTGCATTAATTTATGTATACATAAGTATAACGCTTGTGTACATTATGTAACCGAGTTGCGAAAAGTATCGGTCCCAAACATTATTAACGATCAAGCCCGGAACTCGTGTGGTCGGACGTTGTAAATAAAAAAAGCGGTAGCGTGGCATGCCCCAGTTTTTTCCCCGGTGTGATTTACTGCTAACTCCCGGACAGACACACACACACAAACCCTAATAAATGCAACAATTTCAAGAATGTGTGAGTGCATTTTGATGTGTATGCCCATAGTTACAACTGTCCGTGTTTTTAAAACGTCTCTGCTGTCATAGAACGACGAAGAAAGTGCAAAAAATGATTTTTTTTTTCTTATAAAATTTTGATTGCCAAGTAAATACAGTGGGACACAAAAAAAAAACGATCTTTACAAATGGTTGACACTTTTGCAATGTCACACACACGCTTAGTGGAAACGGCGAAAACCCGATTTTTTTCGTTAACACCACCCACAGAGTTTCGCTGATAAAATCAGCTGTGACAACGTGGAAGCTTCTGCTATAGATATGATTGACATAGGTAGCTTTCCTGATTTCTGACTATTTAATGTGTTTCTCACAATCGTCTAACTACTCGCTAATACTTTCCAATATTGTTTTCAATAAGTATTGTTATCAGTAAATGAATAAGTACACAGTTTGTAGTATTATGACATAATTTTAAAGTGACCCAAAAGTTTGGGTTATATATGACGTAATAATGTAATAGCTATCTTCTTTTTGTAATATACTCGCACTTCATGTTCAAATTCGAATATTTCATTAAGTACATTCCCAAACTAATAGAAAATATCAAATGATTAAAATTTACATTGCGAATCGCAATAGATTTAAATAAAAGTAGGTCATTCAATAATTCTAATATATAAAAAGTTTTTTTGAAGAAAAAAATCCTAAAATATGATAAGACGAGAATTGTACAGATACTTCACAACATAAGATTGCATTTGTTCAAAAGTCATAGAGAAAAATATGATTTGAATAAATGTGTTTCAAAAAACAACAACATAGACTACATTTTTATGTTAATTTAAAAATGAAAATTATATTATTTTGAACTATAATATTTTGAAAGGAAAATCGAATATGTCAAAATAAAATGTTCGATTAGATATTTCGTGTATGGAAAAATTTGTTTTGAATAAAACAAATATTAACATGTTAACATATTTTAATTAAATTTACAATAAAAACTTTTTCTTCCCAAGGATTAAAAAAATCTATGTCGTGAACTTTGGTAGCAATTTTTGTTCTACAAAAATTGCTTCAGATAAATATTAAAAAGTCAAATTTATTTCATTGAAACTTAATTTTTGTTATAAATTAGATTTAGTTATTTAATATTAAATAACTAACATTTGCAGTATTTTTTTGAGATTAAAATAATTTAAATAGCAGGAAAATTTTTTTTATTTTCTTGCTTCTCACTTGTACCACATGATTGTGTATGACATTAATATCTTGTCTGGTTTTTGCGTACTTAAAAAAAATTATCATCTACTAACCTGACTTAATCAGTGATATGTATAATTTTTTCTCTACCCAGAGGATTAAATTATTTTTTATAAAAAGTCGAAATCGATATATAACTTGCAGAGCTGAAAAGTTAATGATAATCTAATTTAGTGAATCGATTCTTAGTGGATAATTTTCTTATTTGTAGGCCGTTCAAACACGTGTCTCGATTTAAAAAACTAAAGTCGATACAATTTTAAGGGAATAGGAAGAGAGTAGTGGATCGAATTTATTTTTTGAAAATTCTAGAACACAAAATACAATTAACTTCTGAAATAAAATTGTATTTTATGTTTTTGAAGATGTCGTGTCGTATTTAATAGTCAGCACTCCGAATGAACTTAATTGTTAATATTAATTAAAACTTGATAAAATTCGTTTTGAAATTGATTGGAAATAACATTCTTCGGGTAAACTTTTAATTATTTATACGAGCAAAACTTGACAACGGCACTTTTGTATTAAAAGTTGGCCACGGTGACGAAAAATTTGAACATACGCGTACATACATAAATACACTCCAAGCTATTGTAATTATAATTTGTGAACTTCAAAAAGTCGTGGGCAAATGTTGAGTTAATTTATCAGAACTCGCGATAGGTAGTACAAGACGTGATATTTTGTAATTTGGTGAATCTCGGCGTTAAATCTACACGGTGTCACGTGACTTGGCGTTAAACTCTACCACACCGACGAATTCTGGACGGATTCGGTAAAACGTTTCCAAGTGGTTTTGGAAAATTCAGTATAATATTTTAACAACCTAAAGTTTTCAACTTTGTGTATTTGGTGCTGCGGTGTGTACCAACTAACTTTGCGTTGGCCTTAACCCGATGCATACGATTATGTTAATGATTGTATTATGTCGTTATTGTTATAGCTAAACTACGCCAGCGTCGTTTATTATTGCCAATTAATAATTGACCACCGACTAGACAATAACGTTCAGTTACCAACGACAACAGCATAACAATGGCAAAATTTGTATTCTGTCGATTTCACAGTACAACGACTAATGGTCGGGTAAAAAAAAATTTTTTTTTTTTTTAACAGCGTGGCTTAATGCCGTCTTGGAATCATTACTCTAGTAAGAAACATTGATTAATGCCACAATGACACATTTATTAACGGTTTTGGGATTTTCTTTTTAATTTTGACTAACACAGAATGGAATAACAACACCGTCGCCAAAGTGTTAACGTTTTATGATACTTTTTTTGCCATCGAGACATTTTTCGGATTAAAACAGCGTAAAATTATGACTCAGTAAGCCAATTCATTCTTAATACACATACAATAAAAATATTAAAGCAACTATTTAAAAGTCTGATAATGTAATCATAAACTGACTACTAATTTTAAACATTCAATTTCAATTTATGAACGCCATTTAAACGTTTTGTTTAATCACTGTAATTTAATATGTTTACAGTAAATTTTGTACATAAAAGTGAAATTTATAGTGTCTGATACAATGATAAAAAATTATGTCTTTTGTTTGAACAAACTATTTTGTGGCAGTAACTTTTACTAAAGAACTTCCCTAGACTTCAAGAACATAAATTCTAAAACAAGTTTTAAAATTAATCAGGAAAATGTATTAAAAAATAAATTTAAAAATGAATAATCTAATTGCAATGCAATTTTAAACTATCAAATTACTTTAATTAAGACTTTGTTGTTAGATTAAAAACTAAAACTTATGATTATATCAAAAGAAAAATAAGTAATTTAGAAAATTTTACATTTCATATTGAATATTATATAATATATCATATTGATACATGATTAATTTATTAATACATATATATGAAAGCTAAATTAGAAAACAAAACAAAATATTTAAAAAAATATATTTTTTCATCTAACAATTGAATCATTTCTTTGCCAAAATTTTTTTGGTTTTAATTTTATGGTTTATAAACCATTATTATGAGACGTTAGACCATAGTGAAATTTATTAAATACAACGTCAATTTTTAGCAATTTTATAGCAGTATAATACTATTAGACTTTTTTCGTTAATTTTATTTTAAAGTGTTTTACACTCGAATTCAATTGGGCGATAAACTATAGATTATTTTAATAGCTATACTTAAAACTAAAAATATAAATTTGAAAAATTTTAACTATGAATAATTTTTATAAACAAATTAAAAACTATTTCAAATTGAATAATTTACCTTTTTATTTTTAGAGTATCATTATAATTGTTTATTAATTAACGACGTTCAATCTACAAAGAAACTTTTCTTCAATAACAGAATCCAACCAAAATCAAATGAAAAAAATGGCGCAACAAATACTGTATGTCTTGTAAAATATCTGGCCAGTTCACTATTTTATATTACATCAAACAACAATTTTTCAGCTTTAATGTTAATTAGTGTGACATTTCTAGTCCAAAAATGCGCAATTGCGTCTTCGGGATTACCCGAAAATTTAACTACCGTTTTTCAACAAGCAAAAAACACCCAAACATTAAAATATTCAAAGGCCACGTCTTTGTTTGCTCGTTCTGGTAATAGTAGCCATTTTCAAACTAAAATTAGTCATACTTGCCCAGATACACCAGATAAACAAACTTATTATACTAAATGTAATAAAGCATCCTATCATTGGTCTAATGCAACTTCAATATTGAAATATTCAGAAGAGTTGAGATTTGAGAGAGAGAAAGAAATTTACCAAGGTAATCTTTTTCGAATTCTATATATTTGATTTAAGTTAGTTAAGTATTTGAATAACAAGTATTCAGTATTTTTATAATTATATTTGAAGTGTCTCGTACATTAGTTTGAAAACGTGCCGACGAGTATTTTTGTAAATAACGAACAAAATTCAACAATTTGTGTTGAAAAAGAATTATTAAAAATAAATTTAATATAATTATTAATTAAATTTATTTTATTTCAATTGCTACGTAAATATTATTTATCTCGGAAACTTTAATTAAAATATTCGGAAAAAGAGTATTTTGGCTATGACACAAGGTCCAAATTAAATTTTAGGTTAATTTTAAGTTTAAGACAAATTTGAATTAATTTTTATTGATTTATTTAACAGTTTCTTACTAACTTGAAAAATAAAAAACAAAAGTTATCTACTGATTTTTAATAATTAAAATAACAATAAAATAACGAAATAATTAATAAGTAACTTAAAAGTATGAAGATATATTTTGACATTGTTGACAAAACATAGTTTCGTTGGATTTTAATGATTTTAAATAAACGGACTTAGATTTAGACAAAAGTTGTGATTTTACTAAAATACATCATTAGTGTTGGAATGAATAATTACAATAAATTATTGTTAAGCATTTAAAAATTGCTACAAAATTAAGAAATTTGATAAAGTTAGTAAACAATTGAATTAAACGTAAACTTTTATTAAATCTCTCAGCTTATATTAGATATATGACAATATTCATCTATTTATAATTTAAATATTTAAAAAAACTTATTTGATTATAACTATTTCAGAGAAAAATATTAATTTAACAATTAAAAAAAAATGAATTTTCAAATTTTATACAGACAGAATTTAAGGGTATAAATTATAATTGCTAACAATTTCGCCTATTTTATTCAGGTTGGAAAATTTGCATAAGTTAAAAGCTAATTTTCCTCTTGTTTCAGTTTTATAATATGCAATAACTAATATAACACACCAACCGCTAAAATTATCGATCTAATATGAATAGAATTATTAAAACAATTGTAAGTCTGGATCTCATTTTTGATATTTTTGTACTTACTGCCTTTAACAGTACGCGGATTAAAATTATTGGGTATTACTAAAATTCAAAATCTTTACTATTCATTTTAGATTTATTGTGGTAATTATTTCAGGAAGGAAAATTAATATTGTTACTATAATTAGCTGTTGATTACGCATTTTAATTTTTCATCATAATAATAAAAGCATATTCGCTGAATAGCCTTAGTTTAAAAATAAAATACAAATTTTTTATTTAATAGTGAACATTAAATATGCATATATATCTTAGAGCTTTGTGCTTGGAGTGTCATTGAAAAATAATGCCAGGTATATACCAATAAAAAAAGTGAGTTAAATTTAGTAATGTAAAAGAGAAAAGTTTTTGATATTATCATTGATAATTCTTATGATTATGGAGACTACAAACAAAAAAAACGCTTAAGGGAATAAGCGTTGACATTTTTCAAGACAAGATCGTAAAACGACAGTAAGCGTTCTTTTGTTTAGTAAAAACAAACACGGGAAATTACTATTAGAAGATTACCAACTTTATCTGATGTTATCAATACCTTACGTCGTACGTACCTGAACGCATAATATATTATAATTGATTAAACTAACAATTCTCACACATTGTTTATAAATTGTTAAATTTTAATTTTATACATATTATATCTAGGTCAGTGGTGATTAAACCACGTCATTAAACATTCACAATAGTATTCAGTTATTTAAATATTTCTTGCACATAGCGCAATTAATTTTTTTTTTTTATTACACTTCAAGACAAAATAGAAAAACTACGGAAACAACGCAAACAAAATTGCCCTCGCAGTTACACAGCTTCCGAGTTGTTGCTCGTTTATAATCCAAACCCAATGTTTTGTCTGTTTATTATATATGTGTATACACTGAATGCGTTTCTGAATAATACTTTCAAAATTTACCTAACCTGACCCTAATCAGCAAAAGACGTTGGTGACAAACAAACCTAATTACTCACTCGTTACTCAACTTTAGACAACCGGGCGCTTTGATAACACTTAGTTTTTGTTGTTAAAAAATAAATATAAATATAAGTAAATATAATATACAAATAAGTATTGATGCTCATGAAAAATTGAAAAATTATGTCTACAGCAAAATATTTTTAAGTACGTAAACAAACAAGAACACAACTGCCTACTCTATTAAAGTAGATAACTATTGAAGAATCACGGGTTCGTGTTAATTTACTTGGCATAATTGTAGTGAAGTAAAACATTATAATAAAATGAATAGAAATTCTTCAGAAAGTTTTAATAATGGACTGTTTTGATGGTTAACAAACATCAGAAAACAAGTTTTTAATTTAGAAAAGTTATAAAAACATGTGATTTAACAAAAGATTTTAACATGCAATAAGATTTAGAATACAGATAAGCTTGTGTTTTTCATTTTTAACTTCTTTCAAATGATAAAACTATTAAGAAGTAATAAATAAAACCAAGTTTGATGACAGAATTTTTATCTATTGTCACATAGCAGATTATTTGGTAAATTTAAAGTAAGTTTCTGAAAGTTTATATTAATAAAAAATTGTCAATGGAGTTATACAAAAATAAAATTGGACTTGGGGTATTCCACACTGATAATATTATGGTAAAGTTATCAAGTTGGTAAAATTTAGTCCATTAATATTTCTCTTTCTAAATAGACTATATTGTAAATGCGCTTTAACATAGTTAGAGTGATCAACTTAAATTTAAATTTACTGAAACGTATAACCAATAATCAAGTGATTTTGATTAATATGTATCCATAATTTAAGTATAGAGTGATCAAAATGGTTCCAATGTAAAAGGAACTTTTAAGACAATGTAAGATCGGTTTTTATTTCGAGTTGTAGATATGTAAAATTCAGATTGGTCGATAAATAAAAAAATAGATCGTGGGATGAATATTGTAGAAATGAGAAATAGTTTAAAGGGAGGACGCAAAATGGTTATAAATAGGAAATAAGGGAATTTGGTTCATTCAGAAAAAAATGTTTAGTGCTAACAAAAATAGAGCCATGAAACTTTTACTAGGCTGAACACATTTATCTGTAAAGAATAATAATAACTAGTAAAATTGTAAATTATTTATTTTATTTTATATTTAAATATAATAAGATTTTTTTACAATTTCAATTGTATAATTTTTCGATGAAAGATAATACTTATAAATAAAATGAACCTATTTGATCGGTAGCTTACGATATTTTAAACTTTGAATAAAAACACTTTATTTTTATTCTATAATAATGGACTGTATTTTTTATTTTATATCAAACATTTTATATACGAAAAACTATAGGTGCGCGTAAGTGAGCCGGACTCATCATTCGCTGTCCGGTTTTCGACTAACTTACAAACAAAAACCTACGCTGCACCGCCCCCCACCTATTCTATAACAAATATATCTAGCGTTTTTTCCCCAATATCAAACAAAATTTTTGAAAATATATTTCTTTACAAAATTATTATCAAATAATTAATAAAATGTATAAATTATTTATGTTAATTTATATATAAATGTAAAAATAATTCATGTACACTTGGTTTTTATTGTAAAACTCCTAGTATCAATTCGAAAATTATGAAAATTATGTGATAATTTACTACACATATTACATTAACAACACATAAGTAGCGTTAAAAGAAAACATTTAATTGTAACGTCTTAATTAGTTATAAATATAATTATATGTAAATTTAAAAATAAAAATACATCTTACCTTCGTGAGCATGTACTAAAGTGTCTACCATATAAATTCCATCCGAAGCGTAATCTAATATCCACCAGATAGTTGGCATAGAATTATTGAGTTCCCAAAACACTCCTCTGCCAATTACAAATACTAGATTGTAAAGAATGGTAACCGTGACCAACATGAGCCACTAAAAATTAAATAATAAAACAATGTAATTGATTATTTATGAAAAATAGTAGGAAAAAGGTATAAAAGGTACAGAAGAAAAACAACAACGGTTCATTTTTCAGCAGAACAAAAATAAAGTAATAAGTGCTGATTCTATCAATTATAAAATAAATATAGACATTTATAAAAATAAAAACATTTTTCACTGAATAAATCATAAAATCAAAATAGAAATCGAAAAAAATTAACTTTTACCGTTTTTCTTCTGTACTATTCACAGAGTGAAACAGATATAATAAACAACTTTTATAATTGTTACAATACATCGATACGATTAAACTTCCGTTTTAATTATTTTTGCATTCATAGGCTACATTTAAATTATATTTTTAATTATTTAATTTTAATAAAAAATATTTAATTTTAATTTTTTGAAAATTTTAAAATAACCGTATTTATCTTAGAAAAATGTTTGATAGGTCGATAACAACTTTAGGATTAGTACTTATTGTGCTACAAGCATTTTTATACGTAGAGTGGGTTTGCAGCATGTGTAGTGTATGCGTTATAGATATACACTAGTACAATCTGTAGCCAATTTGTAGCTACAAACCAATTCTATGTAATGCTTGTAATTCAATTGAAAGTAGGACTATATTAGGAAAAATAATTATAGACTTCGTTATGAGGTACTAAGTCTTTTTTGATAATTACCATTTTTAAAGTCTTTTTAGTCGCTGTTTTGTTACAGTCTATTTCTATAAAAGTTAGACCTAATAGCTTCGATGCGAAGCTGAGAAGGTATTTGTTTTACTATGATGTGTTTTATTTTGTGTCTGTTACCACTTTTTCTCAGCTCTCACCGAACCGATTGCTTTCAACGATACGTCAAAAGATCACAAATCGTATCTAGTCGAAGAAATTACCCTCAAAAATTGAAAAATTTTCCCTCGTTCTCTGTAACGGGGGGAAAACACAAAAAAATTACAAATTTAAAAATTGCTAATTTTTGACATTATTAAAATTTTTCTTACTTAAAACTGCTACAACTTTTTTAAAAATAACCAAATTAATATAATTTTTTTTTATAGATGCATGATGTCTTTAACTTTTATTTGGTATATTTTTTTTTATAAATCTGACCCTTTATCTGCCCACAGGGGGGATACAAAATGACAATTTTTTCACAAAAAATTAACTTTATTAACTTAACTTTTGAAAGTGTTTCGGAAAGTCTGACACTTTTATATATATCAATTTTTTAAAATTAATCACTATCTAAAGATTTGTATAGAAGAGTTTTTTATGATAGTGATTTTAATCACTGTCAGATATCATTATACTTGACCCATCTATGTCACGTCACCACTATGCCGGGTTTTTTTATATCATATTTTTACAAATTTATGTCCAAGGTGCGAGCCTTGTATAGTTCTACTAATTAAACTGCCCCTCTGTAAGCTCTGAATTAATTTATAAATATATTTATCATGGATAAAAATAATATAAAAGAGGCTGATGATAAATTTTCTTATTTACTTTTTAAAATTATATTTACTCCAAGAAAGTAAAAATTTAATGTTAAATCATCGCAGCACCGTTGTCACGAGATAAAGTAAACATTGTAAACGCTTGAAATAGTAGAATTGGTATTTATCCGATAAATACAAACAATCACGGAATAACACACTGTAATTGCAATATAAAAAAATACGGCGTGTTGAAGTACTTCAAAGTAAAAACAACACATTTTTATTTAAAACATAGCTTTCTATTACTTGTTATTATGCATTTTAAACAAGAGCGTTTGCTATTTGGACAGGGATATGTATCATAATGAAAATTACTAAAATTACGTTAAAAATTAATTTATGTACAACTTATTTAAGCAAATTGGGTGTTGATCAGATGAAAGTATGTAATTTGTACATTGATATATAAAATCCATTTCGGAAAACACTTTTATTTTTGTTCTACTAAAATGAAAAAAAAAATATGATCGACTTCAAAGTAATGTTATTTTCTCACTCAATCTTACTTTTTCAGGTCGAAGCTATAACTCTGGGGAAAAGGAAAAATCGCTTTTTTTTCGATGTCGTGAAGTGTTAGCTTATTGAATTTTTAGAACAGTTTTACTATATTTCTTTGCATATTTTACTGAAAATGTGATAAAGCATATATGTTCAATAATATTATGGTTTTACTAATATATTGCTTACTGGTGAAAAAATAAATTTTTCTATAATATTTTAGACAACTTTTTGAAATAAACTTAGTAACAAAATTAATTTTACTTAAAATTATAGTAACACATTTTATTTCTGGAAAAAAGTGTTTACACTATCTTATTTTTGGTTTGTTTTAATAATAATGATTACTCTGCAGTATAGAACTTCAAGCAATTAGGATTAAAAATCTAATCTTTTAGTTAATAAAAAAAAATAGAAAATTACAATTTAAAGGATTCAACAAGTATAAATTTAATAGTAATTATAATAAATTATCATGACAAAATCGATTTTACTTAAAAAATATTTGTTTGATATTGAATTAATATTATTTTATTAGCAGATACTACAGATGTAATTATTTAATGTATGTGTATTAACAACTGCTAATCAAAATGCCATTTATTGATTGATTAATAGACACTAAACGGTAATTAATTAAGTAATTTAAAATAATATAGTGTAGTTACATAAAATATATGCAATGAGTTGTAAGAGACTTCATAAATCAAGTACATTTCAATATATTATTCTAGTTAAATTATAATAAATAAATATATATCTATAATTTTAATTTATTAAATTACATTTGCAATGTATATATATGAAAAATTACCATCATAACTTTAGTTTTAATTCCAATAATTCTATATTACTATTTTAATGGCCAGAAAAGTTATTAAAAGTCGAAAATATTAAAAAGACAATAATAAAAATTATAAAAATAATAATTTATATGCCGTCAATAGTTTTAGCTATTATGTAGACTAGGCATAAAATATGAAATACATCTGTATCTATTTTTTTAATTAATTATGAAGTCAGCTTACATATAACTAATTTTATTGGATAACTGTTTTTTTTCTTGTTTTTGACGTATCGTAAACTGAGATAAAGATACTTAACGCAGCTTCTTTATTAAACCTGACTACGTAGTTATATAAATAGAAGACTAGATAAGTAATAATTAATAAAAAATAATAAATAATAAAAAATTAACTTATAGTGAGTACCCAATTGGAAAAATAACAAAAATTCAAGTATTAAAGTTTATAGTAATAAAACGCAAACAATTTATTTTGTTAGGGAAAAAATCACAAACGGAAATAATATATTGATAGTGTTTTCATTATAATTTTAATTTATTTATTATAATTACAATTATTATAATAAGTGATTGAAGTTTATACAACTATTTGTACGAATAGCATTTTTAGTATATCATCTAACTGCTAATACCTTTATATTAATTATGAAGTATAACTTGATAATGAATTTATAATTGCTAAGGCATCAAACTTTTTATTGTATGAACTTTGTTTATCATGAAAATATGAACATAAATTTTTTAAGTGAATTGCGTCAGTTTATAATATTGTATCAAAGAAACAAAAATAGAAAAAATTCTTTAATTAATTAAATTTTTTTTTATTCTTAAAAAAAAAACTTATAGTTTTGTTTAAAAGTAATTAGTAAATAGTAATAGTAAAAATTTTCATTCGACATAAAATTTGAGAATATTGTTGAAAAAAAATATATGTCACAAATTAAAAAGAATTTATTAAGTAAAGATGAAATTTAATTTTTTTAATTTTGAGGGAATGATCATTTGTTAGAACTGTTAAAAGTATAAAATTCTTTTAAAATAATGAATTTTACAATTTCACCAAAAGTTTTGAAAGTCATTTACAAATTTAAGTACTTATATATACTACATGATATGCATGTATTTGTAATCATCAGAGCAACATAAGCTTTAAGTTTTACGGTTTATTTATATTTGAATATGATAGGTAATTTTTTGTAATTGGTTTAATGCAAATAAGTAAACAACCATAATTAAAAGCCTATACAAATAAATATTATATGTATCTCACATCTAACGTTTTTGATCGTTGTATTGTACAATACAAATGTTCTAAACACTTGTACAATTTAATGACAATCAGTATTTATATTAAATTGTATTTTAACAACTATTATTGAAAGTTTAGCAGAATTTGAATTTATATATTATAAAGTTATTTTCGTTCATATAATGTTTTTAAAACTAGTTTTCTTTACATTACTATTATTATTTAATTTTGTAGAACATGTTTTTCCTTACACTGAAATTACTCCAGAATTTTGTAAGCTTGGTACGTATAATAAATATAAAAACACAACATAGTTTGATAATTTGATTCATAGTACATTATATATTGTAAAAGTGTTGATAGTGAAATGTTAAAATAAATTTCACTCAATCTTTTTGTTAGAAATTGACGAAATCATAAAATAATAGTACATATTGTAAAAAAATTGAAATATTTTCAGTAAGGTCAAGAAGTTCAAATAAAATTGACAGTGACAAAATTGAAGCAAAACTTGTGGCTACAGATGACCCATGCTTAGAAAAAGTAAAAAAAAAATCTCAATTATTATATGTAAAACGAGGCGACATTGTTGATTTAAAAATATGTTTTGACGCACAACTTTCCAAGACTTTCTATGTAAAGTATGACTTAGACGGCGCTACCATGTCTCAAGTAGGAAAACCAGATGAAAGACCAACTAAGTTCCTTGTCGGAGAAAATAGAAACCTATTTCCAGACTACGTGGCATGCTTTTATACAAAGGTAAAGTGTTGAAAAATATTTAAGTTTCTCAAGTATGAAAAAATTATAACATTTATTCAAAATAATTTGTTTTATATATATACATATACATATATTTAGTTATTCGGCTAGAAGTAAATCTAAAACTTCAAAGCGTATAAATAAAAATAAAATTTTGTTGTTTGGCCAGATAACTAGAAACGGTAAAAAATACCTCCATTAACGTTAACTGCCCTAGAAACAAAAGTTTAGTCTAATTTTGTAGATACAACAATAACAAACATGATGAATAATGAAAATATATAGATAATTTCATTAGTATAAAATAATTATAATACCTAGGTAAGCTTTTTATATATTTTGAGTTGCCAAAGGAATACAGGTGTATTATTCTATCCGTAACCTAAAATGAGTAGTATACTAATATACTATTCAATTAAAATAGACCAAGTTCTTATAAATAAATATAAAAATATAATATAAGTAGACATGAAATTTAAAAATAAACAAAAAAAAAATAATATATAAATTGTATTAAAAATTAATAAGCACAATGTTAAACATTCAAATCTATTTATGAATATACCAAAAACTTAATGTTTTATTTATAACAGGATTTAGATAATTAGAGTAGCATTATGATTATTTAAATCAAACTGAGAAGTACAATAGGCAGAATGACAAATTTAAAATACTTAATACATTTTAATTCATTTTTAATAATCGCTATTTTCTCAATATCATACAAGAACACTATTATTATAAATGTAAAATCATATTGACTACAGAATCATCAAAAAGCTTTGTTTGAAGATTTTTACAAATTGCCAGATCGAATTAATACAACATCATTTATGGCTAAAGGTCATTTAGCAAGTAATGGTGATTTTGTTTCATCAGAAGAAAAAGAAGGTACTTTTTACTTTGCAAATATAACACCACAATGGCAGTCTATTAATATGAAAACTTGGAGCCAAATTGAATCATCTGTTAGACGTTTAAGTAAAAAGGTTAGTTTAAAGTTATGATTACTCAATTTTTTCCATATTATTAGATTGAAAGTATAAATATTAGATTTTTTATGAATTCGTTACATGTTTTCAAATTTTATTTTTTGAATTATTCTTTTTTAGAATATTTTATAGTTAATAAAATGTATGAAGATTTTAGCAACTAGTTTTATAATTATCTAGAATTTCAAATGTGTTGCTCTTATCGTGATAATTTTATTGATTTTGGTAACATCTCAGATATTAATGATTGAACTAAATCACCAGGCTGCCATGAAAGGGATGAGGGTTGCACACCTTTGATTAATCATATTTAATCGTTTATATTAGCAATTTTTCGATGTATAGGGTTATTCTATAGGTTGCTTCTAAAAAAAAATTATTATTCAAAATTTCATACAATTAAAAAAAAATATATTAAATGAACAAAAATTTTTTCCTTCACCATTGTGTTATTTCATGACAGCCCCGTATCACATTCAATCGTTTTTGTTCCTACTTAATTTAATATTTTAATGCTATTTTACTAGAATAATTTTACTAATTACTTTTCAGAAAAATTCTACATTCACCGTATATACTGGTACTCATGGTCAAATGACTATCAATAACAAACCAATATATTTAACAACTAACAAACGAATTCCAGTTCCTAAGTGGCTGTGGAAGGTAGTAATTGATAAAAATACCAACGAAAGTATAGGAATTGTCTGCACTAATGATCCTTTTAGTGATCTAAAGCCAATTTGTGGAAGTCGAGAATTCTGCGATAAAACTAATTGGAAGTATTTTGGAAAAACAAAGTCATCTGGCAAAGGTTACTGCTGTACTTTAGAAGAATTGAAAGCTGCAATTCCTGAAGCAAACGACATTGAAGAGAAGTCAAATGGTATTTTAAGAGGGCCACTATTATCTCTTCATGCTGCATCTATGCTTAAGATTCAGGCTAGTAAAGTTCATAAAAAAGTAGCAGAAAAAGTAGCTGAAAAAAAAAAAATTAATAACAATACAAAAAATTTTAAATTGATGCCAGTTGTCGAAGAAGAACCTCCCAAATCACCTAGGGATTTAACTAAAATAACTCGCCGTGTATCTACCAGGAAAAAGAAGCCAGTTGATAGTGACCCAGATTATTCAGACGATTCGACCTAAAAAATTTTAACTAACTAAAAATGTTACACGAAAACATTTATAAAACCATTTTATATTATTATATATTTAAAAAAAATAAAAAATTTATCTAAGAATGCATAATATAATCAAATAGAATGTGTAATTAAATGATTTTGTATTATTAAATGCAGCAGATAAAAATAGTTATCAATAGTTTAACTAATTTTGATAATAAAGTTTGCAAACAATGTAACCCATTATTTTGTTTTAAGTAATGCATTATGAAATATAACATTAATTGTTGTAGTATTATTTACTTTAGTCTAAAGAATTTGATGAAGTCATCAACACAATATAAAAATAGTGCAATAAATTTGTTGAGTAAGAATAAGTTCACTCATATTAATTGATATGAATTATTATAAGAACTTCAAATTTATTCTACTAATAACTCAATTACTCAAAAAATAAAAACAATTATACACGTATAAATTAGTCATTTTCTTAATTAGATAATTTACTATTTTATATTCTAGTTAAATTTGTACGTAGCTATTAAAAAAAAAAAGTTGACATCTCTATAATTTATAAATTTTGCTTGTTCCTTTTTGAAGTTTGTGTAATTCTATCATAGGATAATATGGTAACGCAAAAATATTATTCATTTTAAGGGCAGATTAACCCCTTCAATCCACTTAAAATATATTATCGGAAATAATTTTTCAAGTCAATTAATAAAATAATAATAAGTTAATTAATATACTTTTTTATGGTGTGTTCGGATAAACTTAACAAAATTCTTGTTCGTGTATGATTATAAGGAATGATTTTAAAAAGTTATTAATAGTTGATCTAACTAAAAAACGAAAACATTTTATTGTTTCAATATCGTATTTATTTTGAGAGTAATCGAGTGGTTTATAATAAACCGATCACTCATATATGTAATTTACTAAAAAATTATATAACACAAGATAATGATACAAACATTTTATTTCAACTTATTCAGTAAATATTTTCGTAATACAAGCAGCTTATATAGCTCAGTCCAGGCGGAGTTACGCTTCAAATATACAGGTAATGTAGTTCAAATCCTTAAGAATTTTTTTATTTTTATCTATCCTCTCTCATTGCATTAGTTTATACCATTAATCAAGGAAGCATTTATAAAATGATATAAGTATGAATTGAGACTGATGATATTATTGAAGAATTCAAAAATATGATACTATTCAATCTTCGTTAATTTAAAAAAAAGGATCAAAATAATAAAAAAAAAAGAATATCATTTTGTTTTCATATATATAAAAATATAATAAGTTAGATTTTGTTTTTAATTTTTGAAATATTTTATTTTATATAAATGCTACTTAAATTATTTATTATTTTCTATTTAAGCATTAGCGTAAATGATAGTATGACAATGAAAAAAGAGGTAATGCAATTAAATTTTTTTTTTCAACTCATCTTATATAAAGGTCTAGTTTTGCCTGTGTTTATAATATTCATAATGTATAAAATAGAAAACGCATTTATAAAATGATGAAAGTATGATTTGGTAAATATTATTTGACCTTTATAAGTCGTATTCGTATTTATGCTCATTTTGAGAGAAACTAAAGAATGAAGTATTCTTAGTTCAAATTTTATACACAACAGACAAAACTTAGTTTTAAAAGTCATAAAACATCATTTTGGTGTAAATTAAAATACGATTATTTGTCATTGAGTAAGGTATTAACATTTTTCATGTTTAAATAAGTTACAAATTAATGTAATTTTTTTTTATAGTTATAAATATCTATGGATTTAAATGTTTTTAAAACATCTTTGAGTATATACTTAAACTAAAAATACAAAACAACTTTTCGGTCTTTATTAATAACTAATGACTTTATTATAAAATAAAGTATAAAAATTTTGTGTTTCTGACCTTATAATGGAAATGTGTCGTGGGATCAACTACAAATGATGAACTCCAAAAACACTTGGAAGATCGTTTTTTTTCTAATTTTGCATCAGCCATTTTTGTTTCGAACCAATCGGGACCAGTGGACCTTTCGTGGACTTTCCTTGAACTTCCCCATTTGTTTGACTGAAATAAAAATAATTTTGGTGTCAGTAATATAATTACATATACAAAAAAAAAATATATATAAGTAATTTAAATTTACAATTCTATAATCAAAACCGAATGTTGAATAACTCTTAGAAATTTGAAGTTAATTAAATACTCACTCATGTTATACAAAATCAAACAAGATAATGTGTATAAAAATACACATTATTAAATCAATCAAAGATAAAATATATTATGCATAAGCTACTAATGCTTTAAAATAAAAAGTAATGTTTTATTTTTATTATTTAAACTGATTTTTTTATTTTGTACATGTTATTATGTATATTTGACTACGTAATATATTAATGTATTTTCTAAATCCCTTCATAAGCATTTTTTCAGTTTTATACCGAAAATTTTACACTCCATTTATTCAAAAAAAAAAAAAAAAAGGTTTTATAAATTATTTAATCATTAAAACGATTTATGTTCTTCGTTTATTTAATTTTAATTAAGACATATTAAAACTATAAATAATTAAAATTACCTGATAAAAATTTAATAAAATTAAGTTTCATTTGCCATATTTGATTAATATTGTTGAACATTTAAAGCCATTTACCTCGAGAAATATTTAATTAATTTATTAGTAAATACAGATCCAATTAATTTAATAATATAATAACATTAAAAAATCGAATAATTAACTTGGATGAATTAATATTGCATAAAGAGTGTTGAGTATTATTTTTTATAGACATTGAATTTATTTATAATATACGCGCTAATATGATAAGAAAAAAACAACTATTCTTTTTGTAATTATTAATTATCTGCATACATTACAGAAAATTTATATTTTTATTAAGAGGTTTTAAAGAAGTATGATACACTTCTTTTTTTAAACTAAATAACAGTATAACGATTTCGAGAGAACGAATATTTCATACTTAAAATTAATAGAAAAGGAAAATTATTTGTTTTCTTCTTAAATACAGCAGAAATATAAATATCTCAAATCACTGTTATTTATTAGGTATATCTTTAAATTATTCAATTTCTTAAAAAGGTTGCGAAAGACGTTTTTTAGGAATCACAAATGTTAATAAATCAATCTTCAATAGATCAATGTGATGCTTTTTGCTTTGATTCCTTCGTATAATTAGAAAGTGCAAATCACAAAAGTCACATAAATAATATCAAAATGAAAAGCACCAGCACAATAGATTACTTCAAGACCACTTTATGTTTATTCTTTACTTATAACCATAGATATGAGTTTATTTGGAAGGTCAATAAACTATTTTCCATATATATATATTGTTTTAAGAAAATGAAAAAAACTCATTTCTTTTAGAAAATAGTTTATTGACCGTCCAAATAAACTCATATCTATGGATATAACTAAAGGATATATATGAATACATGATTATGGTTTCTAGTTAAATTCAATTGAATTGTATAGTTGTCTATTGTTTATACGCAAAAGACGAGCTATAATTAATTAAGTTTTTTGATCTGCTGGTATAAAATTATGATTAATTTTTTTATAGAAACCTATTCAGTTAGAACATACACTTCATAGAATATTCAATGTAACTAACTTATGATACTTATGTATTCATCTGAATTAAATCAGCATAATATAAATATGCTCTTCGAATAAATCCAAAGTTTACTGGGGCTGTAGTTATAAAACTGGCTGGCTTTGAGCTTTGTTTCATCAAGCATTAATTGTTTCCGGATGCATGAACAGCTTGAAATTATTATTTTGCATTGCCATACGTCTCTCTACATTACCGCAATGCAATATGAGTAATATGTTTGTGATTATAAATTTAATGGAATCATATGTAACAGAAAATAAATCTTTAGTTAAATGTACTATACTATTAATTTAATTGAATAATCGACAAACTGGAAAATAATGAAAAAAAATGTATAGTGTTTATAAATTTAAAATTATGATATAAAATAAATTGATATTAAATAAAAAGTATGATATTTTAATTTATCCTGTTGTTATTAAGCTTAGATAATCAAATGATTTAGCATAACAATATAAAGGATCACGCTTTGTTTAACACATATGTACTAATATTGCATAACTCAAACGCCGTCTTAACATTTTTTAAAAATTATGGTAATAAACTTCCAAAAAATGTAAGAGCAAGTGATTTATTCTTATGATGTATTCAAATGGCTGACTTAACATAAATCATAATTTTTTTTTATTAGTGTATTTTTTTTGTTTTTACAATTTAATTGATAAAAATGTTAATTATTATATTCAATTAATTAAATAATTAAACATTTAAGATAGAATAAGACAAAATTTATTTTCAACCAAACATTACAAAAGATATTAACATATTTTATTCTACTTTACGTAATAAAATTACTTTACTGAGTTTCATTTTGAGTGAGTGGTTTTTATTAGAATCTTTTTTAATGTTGAAAATATTTATTTATTATAATATTTAACACGCGTAAGGTGCATATTTACAATAATGCAATACTGAACAATTAATAAAAAAAATAAAGTAGGAAAAATAAAAATATATTTCTTAGAAACTTGGTTCAAAAAAAAATCATTTCTAGACAATACTCTTGATTAATATTGTTTACTTTAAAATTTATTAATTTTATTCATAATTTTAAAATTAACTCAACATTTAAAAGCTGATTAAAAAATATAAATTTGAATCTAGNTTAACTCAACATTTAAAAGCTGATTAAAAAATATAAATTTGAATCTAGTCCAATAGGTATTTAGGATTTATTAAAAATATTTTCTACAATTTTAGATGATCATAGAACTTTTTACTAATGACTATTTAATTATACTTGTATTTTTCTTGGTTTCTAATCATAAAGGTTAAAACTACTGCTTTATTTTATAACAGCTACTATTATATTATTAGGTAAATCTTTGCCCATTCGATTAGGCCTTATCTAATCATTATTTTATTATTAGAGTTAAAATTCATTAAGCCCGGATTCTTTGTAAATAATTTTATAGAATATTCAGATATGACTGTATAAATAGATTTTATGAGAGTTAAAATAGTAAAAAAAAGTTTGGGAAATAAGGCTTCAAGAATTGAGACTGATGATATTATTGAAGAATTCAAAAATATAGTACTATTCAAACGTCGTTTATCGTTAAAAAAAAAATCAAAATAATAAAAAAAAGTATATTATTTTGTTTTCATATATATAAAAATATAAGTTAGATATTTTTTCTAATTTTTTAAATTTTTATTTGAAATAATTTATTATTTTCAATTTAAACATTTGCGGAAGTGATAGTTTGACTACGAAAAAAATACGTTATGCAATTAAAAATTTTTTTTTAACCTCATCTAATATAAAGGTCTAGTTTCGACCATGATGATAATATTCATATTGTATAAAATATGAAATGCATTAAATTTTTATTATTTTTCTTAAAAGGATCGGATCTATGATTTTGAATTATATCAAATACATGAATGTTTAATTCATCAATTTTTTCATTCATTTAGATAGTAAAAAAACTTAGTTATTAAAGATATTGAAATCACGAAAATACCATTTTTTAGCAGATCTTTTTAAAAATTATTTTTAGTTAAACTTTACGCTTGTTGAAATCCATTATACAACACAGTAAATTGTAATAGATTTAGCTGATTTATAAATGTATATAGTTATTTCGTGAAAATCAAAATTAGGCGTACAAACTAAAATATTGTTACATGTACAAATTGTTTTCCATTATTTACAAAATACTTAAACTTTAAGTTTCAGTTTAAATCTATTAACAATAATATATTTACTTTTGTATACTTAATTAAATCGTGTTTAAAAACTATAAGCTCCGAAAACATGAATATATCGTCACTGTTATGCAAAAAGTGACAATATGTTTTTTTCTATATGAATAAAAAAAAAGTGTGATTGAACTATTGAATTTAATTTAAGCTTAATCCAATAGCTAAAACACATTAAAATTTCCCAATTTTAATGTATTAAATAATCTTTTATACTAAAATATAGCTAAAAATATACATTTAACTCAGTTTTTTGTTTTGTTCAATTATTTAATTGAACGGGTAAAAATTTAATCTGAATATAAATCTTTTTTTACAAAAACAATATTTTTAATTTTTGTAAATTCAATTTTTTATCAATTTTTCATACTTTAAGAACATTAGATGAAACCAATATACCTATTATACTTATAATAGGTAGTTGATGCAATAGAATAATATTTTTTTAATCAACAAATGTATATTTTGTATAAATTTTATGACTATTTCATTACTATATAATAAATTAATAACTCATCAATAAAACTATTGAAACAATGTGTAATTAACGAAAAATAATTCTTCTTCTCTTTCATATTATTCTTAACTATTTAGGGTCGGCTAAAATAGATAAAAATAATTATTTATTACTACAACAAAAATTAAAACAATTACATAAATGTGTTTCTACGTAATTATACTTTTTAGTGTTAATTTTAAGCTTAATTATGCTAATATTTTAAACAACCATTTTTATTAAATTATTAAAATTAGTTTTAGTAAAACAAATTTGAAGATCAGAAAATATAGTGCATTCTAGCTGTGCAAAAAATATATAAATTATCATAATAGTCGAAATTCGTTAAAAAAAATGTTATCTTATTTGAACTTATGAGTAATAAATTTAGTAAAAGTTTTATCAAAAATATTCTAAGTTCATTATATTGAAGAATTTAAATACATTTTAATGATCATAAGTTTCATTTAAATATTAAAATGAGGTGAAAGTATGGTTATTAATATTAATATAAAAATTAGTTATAATTATTATAATGTGGTCTTTGGTTTTATAAAGTATCTTAACCAAGTAATTTTTAATAAAATTTTGTCTGTTCATGTAGTTCTTACGAGTACATAATTTATTATGTTAAAAACCATGATTTTTTTTCGACCTTTAAATTGTGACAAATATTTTAAAAATTAACATTTTATATTCTTTATTAAAGAAAAATGTCTAACTTT